CTAAAGATTCCACAAAAACAACAACAAAACCCTACTGTTAGAACCAATGGATGAATTGAGCAAAATAGCAGGATACAAAATTACACAAAACTCAGTTGTGGACTTCTCCGCCAAGATGGAGGCGTAGGTGAAAACACCTTGCATCCTCGCACAACCAAATCTAAAAATAAAGTTTTAACAACAATAAACATAACCAGACCACACAGAAAATCAACAATACGGAGTCCAAAGACAATGAAATGCTCAGCTAAACCAGTAAGAGGAGCGAAGCCAGCAGCAGAGCGGGTTGGCAAAAAAGATCCCTGACCAGGTGGTGCTCAAGCAGCCGAGGGCGCAGATCCCAGGTGCGGTGATCCCAGGTGCGGTGCAGGCTGGCTACCGGCGGACACAGGGAAGAGGCACTGCTGGCTGGCTGGCTGCTGTCGGTGGAGCATTTGCGTACAGATAAAACAGTGAAGAGGCGAGCATTGAGACTGCACAGTGCAGGGTGGTAGGCTTGCACCTTTCCGCTGGGATAAACAGGCCAGGGCGGTGGGACGGACTGGCGAGTGGAGAGGACCGCCATTGCTCCCTCTCTGACCCCGCCCCCACATACAACGTCACAAACCAGCGACCTGAGTGGCCCCGCCCTGGTAAACAACTAGGGCTCCGCTCCTCATACTTAACAAGCACGAACAGACCAAAAATAGCTCAAGAACAGTTCAGAGCCCCAGAGCCGATATATCTAAGTGATGAAGAAATAGCCAAACTTTCAAATGCACAGTTCAAAACACTGGTGATCAGGATGCTCACAGAACTGGTTGATTATAGTCACAAATTAGAGAAACATATGAAAGCTAAACTAATTGAAATGAATGGTAATGCACAGGAAACCAACAGTAATGGAAAAGAAACTGGGACTCAAATCAAGGGAGTAAACCAGAAGGAAGGAAAAAATGACCAAACAGAAAAGAATGAAGAAACAAGAATTCAAAAAAATGAGGAGAGGCTTAGGAACCTCCAGGACATCTTTAAACGTTCCAACATTCGATTATAGGGGTACCAGAAGGGGAAGAGGAACAGTCACGAGTGGAAAACTTATTTGAACAAATAATAAAGGAGAATTTCCCCAATCTGGCAAAGGAAATAGACTTCCAGGAAATCCAGGAAGCTCAGAGTCCCAAAGAAGTTGGACCCAAGAAGAAACACACCAAGGCACATCATCATTACACTAGCCAAGATTAAAATGAAGGAGAGAATACTAGAAGCAGCAAGAGCTAAGGGGACTGTCACCTACAAAGGAGTTCCCATCAGACTGTCAGCAGATTTCTCAAAAGAGACCTTACAGGCAAGAAGGGGCTGGAAAGAAGAATTCCAAGTCATGAAATCCAAAGACCTACAACCAAAATTGCTCTATCCAGCAAAGTTTTCATTTAGAATGGAAGGACAGATAAAGTGCTTCTCAGATAAGATCAAATTCAAGGAGTTCATCATCACCAAGCCCTTATTATATGAAATGTTAAAGGGACTTACCTAAGAAAAAGAAGATTAAAAAAAGATGAACAGTGAAAGGACAGCAAACTCACAGTTATCAACAACCACACCTAAAACAAAAGCAAATTAAGAGGACAGCTAGATCAGGAGTGAACCATAGAAATGAAGATCACATGGAGGATTAGCAACAGGGGAGTGGGAGAAGAAGGAGGGAGAAGGTACAGAAAATAAGTAGCATAGACAGTAGATAGAAAATAGATAGGGGGAGGGTAAGAATAGTAGGGGAAATACAGAATCTAAAGAACTTGAAACACATGTTCATGAACTAAAGGGGGGGGAATGGTGGGGGAGGGGTGTGCAGGGTGGAAGGGAAAGGAGGGGGGACTAGAACAACTGTAATGGCATAATCAATAAAAAATGTTTAAAATTAAAAAAAAAACTCAGTTGCATTTCTATACACTAACAACGAAAAGAAAATTAGAAGCCCTGGCTGGCAGAGCTCAGTGGATTGAGCACGGGCCTGCGAACCACACCATTGCGGTTCGATTCCCAGTCAGGGCACATGCCTGGGTTGCAGGCCAGTTCCCTGCAGGTCAGTTCCCAGCAGGGGATGCACGAAAGGCAACCACACATTGATGTTTCTCTCCCCCTCTCCTTCCCTTCCTCTCTCAAAGATAAATAAAATCTTTTAAAAAAAATTTTTAAAAAAAGAAAAGAAAATTAGGAAAACCATTCCATTTATAATAGCATCAAAAAAGAGCAAAATACTCAGAAATAAACCTAAGGAGTCGGAAGACATGTACACTGGAAACTAGAAAACAGTGAAGGTGACAAGTGGAAGACATGCGCGTGAACTGGAACAGTTAAGATCAAGGGGCCCATACTGTCCAAGGCAATCTACAGATGTAAGGCAATCCCTAACAAAACCTCAGCAGCAGGGTTTTGGGGTGTTTTTTTTCAGAAATAGAAAAACCCTAATATTTGTATGGGATCCCAAAGAGCCAAAAACATTTTGAAAAACAATGATGACGAAGGGCAGGACTCACCTTCTGATGTCAAAACAACTTCAAAGCCATAGTAAACAAATCAGTGTAGTACTGACATACAGACAAGTGTGTAGACTAGAAATAGAATAGAGAACTCAGTAATAAACCTTCATATACATTGTCAAGTGATTTTTAACAAGGGTACCAAGACCATTCAATGGGAAAGGACAGTCTTTTCAACAAATGGTGGGAAAACTGGAATTTACGTGCAAAGAAATGAAGTCAGACCTGTACCTAACACCATACACAAAAATTTAGTCAAAAAAGATCAGACTTAAATGTAAGACCTAAAACTATAAAATGCTCAGAAGAAAATATAGAGCAAAAGGTTCATGACATTAGATTTGGCAATGATTTCTTTTTTTTTTAATTTTATTTAGTTTTTTTTCAAGTACAGTTTTTTGTCTATTTCTCCCATCCCAGCCCCCCCCCACCCTGTGCATCCCACCTCCCTCCCATTTCCACCCCCCTTAGTTCTCATCCCTGTGTTTTTCCTATTTGTTCCTCCAAATCCATCCCCTTTTTTCCCCTTAAATTCCCTTCCCTCTCCCCTCTGGTCACTGTCCCCTTGTTCTCTATTTCAGTGTCTTTGTTTTTATTTTGGCAATGATTTCTTAGACACCAAAGGTGCAGGAAACAAAAGAAAAAATACACAAATTGGACTACTGGAAAAATTTTAGTTCATCAAAAGTCAGTTAAGTAAAAGCAACCCAGAGAATTGGAGAAAATATATATAAATTTTGTATCTGATAAGGGACAGATATCTAGAATGTATAGAGAAGTCTTAGAACTGAACAACGACAAAAACCCAAATAAAAAACAAAGGATATGAGCAGACATTTCTCTAAAGAAGATATAAAAAGGGCCAATAAGCACATGAAAATACGCTCAACATCGCTAGTCATTAGGCAAATGCAAATCAAAACTACCATGAGACACCACCTTACACCCATTGGGATGACTGCTATCAAAAACTCAAAAATAGCCCTGGCTGGTGTGGCTCAATGGATTGAGTGCCAGCCTGAGAACCGAAAGGTCGCCAGTTCGATTCCTGGTCAGGGTCTGGGTTGCGTGCCGGTTCCCTGGTTGGGGACATGCAGGAGTCAACCAAGCAATGTATCTCTCACATCGTGTTTCTCTTTCTCCCTCCCTTCCCCCTTTATAAAAATAAATAAAATCTTTTTAAAAAGGAAGGACATTCTGACACATGCTACAACATGGATGAACCTTAAGGACATTATGCAAAGGGAAATGAGCCAGTCACAGAAAGACAAGTACTGTATGAGGAATGTAAGCAGAAGCACAGAGGTGGCCCTGACTGGGTCAGGTGTGGTCCAGTGGGTTGGCCATTGTCCTGCGAAATGAAATCAATTGATGTTTCTCACATCGAAGTTTCTCTCCCTCTCTCCCTCCACTCTGTTTAAAAAAAAAAAAATCATAGTCCTGACCAGTGTAGTACAGTTGGTTGAGCCAAACTGAAAGGTCACCAGTTCAGTTCCCAGTCAGGGCACATGCCTGGGTTGCAGGCCAGTCCCCCGTTGGGGCACATGCAAGAGGCAACCAAATTGATGTTTCTCTTCTCACACGTTGATGTTTCCCTCTCTCCCTACCTTTCCTCTAAGATTAAATAAAATCTTTTTAAAAACTTTTTAAATTCCACGGCTTATTTACTGAAAAAATAAAATAATTCTAAAAAATCATAGAGATAGTAGAATGTTGCCAGGGCTCGGGGCTTGTGAAGCTAAATCTGTCTTCCTGAAGATACCCTAACTCACTGTAGTGCAAATACTATTGATAGTTATACAGTGTATCTATCAGGCACCGTGCTGGGTGCTTGCTGTTGTTGGGTGGTCTCAGTTAATTCTTACAACTTTTGAAGCGAGGACTGTTAATCCTGTTACTATCCTGTTTGAGAAAACTGAAGTCCAGGTGTTTCAGCATCTTGCCCAGGTAAGACAGCTCTTAAAACAGAGCTGAAAGTGACTCTAAATCTGTGCTTTCCCCGATACCCAATAGGGCCCGTGGTGTTGGGCATGGGAGAACGCTAAGGCTGAGACTGGCATGGCTGTGGGCTGCGTTTCCTGCTTTCTGTTGCCACCCAGAGCAGCGCAGGGCTCAGCACTGCTCCCAGCAGGAACAGAGAGCTTCTTTGGACAGCTGTGTTCAGCCCCTCCCTAGGTGACAGTTACCATTCGTGGACTTGGGCCCTGGCACCCTGAAGCCCCAGTGTCCTACAGATCCTGAACTGGGCATCTCTCTGCCCTCCAGCCTTTTCAGGCTGGCCCCGAGTGGAGCATGGGTGCTGCCTTACAGAAGTTGAATAATTCAGGCCCCAGGGACTCGAGGTGTCAGTTTCAGTTGCTCTATTCCCTTGGGCACAGGTGTAATTAAGCTAATGAAAAGGGCCAAGAGGAGAGGCGTGCTGTCCTGTGCCTCAGAGGGCTCAGGACTGATGGAGTCCCTGCCCCTGTCCTGCTGAAAATGCACCAGGTATGGGGAATGGAGGCAGGAAGCTGGGGAGGGGGCCGAGAAAGAGGAGAAAAGGAGAGTGGAAAGAGGAAGATCAGCATTAGGGAAGTCAAGAAAGAGTTACAGAGAACTAGGAGGAAACAGAGAGGCTGAGTGAGAGGTAAAGAGGGAGGGGGCCAGAGAGAAGCACAGAGGCAGAGGCCCGAACAGGCCAGGACCAGCAGAGAAGGAGGAACGACAGATGCAAAGGACCCAGTACTAAAATCCAAGGGCGGGCACAAAAGGGAGAGTGAGATAACCAGACGGGAGACAAGGCTCCCACGGTGGGTCGCTGGACCCAGCAAAGGTCTGTCTTACTTCCTACTTCCAGGTATTATCTGCACCATCCTTGCCAGCAGGCCCTGACGCTGCCCTAGGTCAGGCCAGGAGGCTCACAGACAGAAACCTGCCCTGCAGGGCCATGGGGCCCAGGAGCCACCTCCTCGGCCTTGGCTTCTCTGTCTCCAGACTGGGCCTTCTGCTCCTGCTCCCACTCCTTCCAGGTATGAAGCTGGATAAACCAGGCCTGGACTCTCAGGGTGTTGCTACTGTTCTTGTCCTCCCCAAATCTGTCTCCACACGCGCTCTCTTCGTTTCTCTCTTCAGCACCCATGCTGGAGAACAAGCTATCTGGGGAGTGTGCGGGAGGGGGTACATAAAAGGGTGAGAGGAAATTTGCCTGATGGGCTGGGGTGGTGAGAGGGGAGCTCCCAGAAATAGGACTGGAAAAACAAGGGGGCCCCAAAATGGAAGGCCTTGAATGCCAAGCTGAGTTGGGGCTTTATCCAGCAGGCAAGGAGGAGCCACTGAATGGGTTTAAGCATCCCTGGCCTGGTCAGATGCGCATGTTTAAAAGCTTGATCTCTCCTTAGTGTGGAGAGTAGTTAGAGAAGCTGAGCCTGAGGCGAGGGGGAGCAGCGAGGAGGCCGTGGCTGCTGTGGTCCGTAAGAGGGAGGACGAGGCCTGAGCTGGAGAGGAGATCAAACATTCGAGAGATGGTCAGCAGTAAGACTGACAGGATTGGGGTTTTGGTTGGTTTGCAGGGGTCATTGAAAGAGGAGGGAGGGATAATTCTCAGATTTCCAGCTGAAGTCACTGGGGGGCGCTGTTTGCTGAGATGGGGGAACGCCACACGAGGTGCAGGTTTCAGAACATGGGGGCGGGAAATAAGTGTCTATTTTGGACCTGAACATTGACGGTGCCTGTAGATGTTCAAGAGTGGACTACTGTATCTGGAGCTCGGGAGAAGGGAGAAGAAGGAGATGAGGGCCAAGGACAGGATTCTGGGAAGCAATACTTAGGTCAGGGACTGAGGACAATATGCCGTCACAAAAGCCTAGGGAAGGATATGTTTTCAGGAGGGACTGGCCCGTAGTGTCAGATGCTTCTAAGAAATCAAATGTTGTGCAGCTGGAGGAGTGGAGGCAGATTTGAGAGACCAGAGGGGGTGGGGCAATGGAGTTCAGATAGCTGGGTGAGAGCTGGGACTCCTGCATGGCCTGTTTGGGCCCCTCTAGAATCTGTGGCAGGGCAGGGCACATCCAAGTGCTTGGGAAGGGAAAGGCAGGGAAGATACCCATCAGCCTTGCTTCAGAAGATAGTACAAATTCCCCCCACCTGCCTCACCTCCTTCATCTCTGGAGGCAGGCTAGGGAAGAACTGGAGTCTCGGCCTGAGGAACAGAGGGCTGCCTTCAGGAGGACCAGTTAGACAGCTGGGAGACAGTGGGGCAGGCCAGGACCCTGGCCTGGTGGGGGTGGTGGGGGTGGGCAAACCTTCCTACTGGTCTCCTAGAGTGCCTGGGAGCTGAGGGCAGGCTGGCTTACAAGCTGTTCCGTGACCTCTTCTCAAACTACACAAGTGCCCTGAGACCTGTGGCAGATACAGACCAGGCTCTGAACGTGACCCTGGAGGTGACATTGTCCCAGATCATCGACATGGTACGTCGTAGTGGTTGTACAACTATGGGGTGTGCTGGTGACAGTGTCGAGAAATCTGGGGGTGGGAGACAGGTATTATTCACCAAACGATTCTTTTCTGGAAACATTCGTATTAACAATAACAGCTACTGACTTGGACACTGTTGGGCGCCCATGGTGTACCCAACACTTGGCACACTGGAACCCCTGCCCAGCACGGGTCATCACCCCTGTAACTGCTAAGGAAACTGAGGCCTGGAGAAGAGAAGAACCTGCCAAGGTCACAGCAAGGCCTGAGTGGAAACGGGGCTGTAGGGGCAAGGTGGGTTTGTGGGTTCTGACAGAGCTCTGCAGGTGAGTGTGCACACACAGGGGAGGATACGCACGTACATGTGTCCACATCTGGGCCCACTCCCTGCCCCCAACTAGGATGAGCGCAACCAGGTGCTGACCCTGTACCTGTGGATCCGACAGGAGTGGACAGATGCCCACCTACGATGGGACCCTGATGACTATGGTGGCCTGGATGCCATCCGCATCCCCAGCAGTCTCGTGTGGCGGCCAGACATCGTACTCTACAACAAGTACTGCCTGCCTGGGCCCCTCTCCTCCCCTTGCCCTCCCTAGAGTTGCCCTTGACTTTGGGTATGCACCTTCCCCCCACCCCCCCTATGGAACCAGTTGCTATGCCGCCCTGGAAGCTGTCCCCAGGACCTTTCTGATCTGGCAGGAAGGTGTTGGTGTTTGCTACTGAGGGCAGTGGGGCTTCCTGACAGCCCTGACACCGGCTCCTGGCAAGGGCCTGCTGGGGGCCGGCCCCTTCACAGCCCCCCCGTGCAGCACCGCCTTAGGCTACCCCAAGGCAACCCAGGCTGAATGTCTCCCAGGAGCCCACTCTGCAGTCCAGGGCTAGTTCTGTATCTCGAAGAGAAGTTTCTGGGGCACGAGTGTCTCTTTATGGCACACTCCACCCTTCCAGGCTGGCTCTGAGTCTCAGGTCTCCCCAAAGGCCTGCCTAGGGCCCTATGCAGCATCCCCTTACGCCCGCCTAGCCAGTTCTGCTTCCCAGACAACACACGGATCTGCAGATTTCCTCAAGGGCCCCTCTACACTCTAAGCAGATGACATCTGGGGGAGGTCACTATGCCACCAGGTGCCAACTTTCCGAGAGGGCTTTTTATGCTGCCCAGGGCTAGATCAGCATGTTGCTGGGCCCTTCGGGCACTGCCTCTTCTAGGCCTCCAAGAGCACAGAGGGACCTCCCGGGGCACACTCCGCCCTCCCTGCGGAGGCTCTGCGGCTTTGGGCCCCTGTAGCCACAGAGCCCCGCCTGTCCTGGAATGGCCTCCGGCTGCTGCCTCAGGGAGTCCCGCCTTCCCGCAGGGCAGACGCGCAGCCCCCAGCCTCCGCCACCACCAATGTAGTTCTGCGACATGACGGGGCCGTGCGCTGGGACGCGCCGGCCATCACGCGCAGCTCGTGCCGCGTGGACGTGTCGGCCTTCCCATTCGACTCACAGCGCTGCGGCCTGACTTTCGGCTCGTGGACGCACGGCGGTCACCAGCTGGATGTGCGGCCCCGCGGCGACCACGCCAGCCTGGCGGACTTCGTGGAAAACGTGGAGTGGCGCGTGCTGGGCATGCCGGCGCGGCGGCGCGTGCTCACCTACGGCTGCTGCTCGGAGCCCTACCCGGACGTGACCTTCACGCTGCTGCTCCGCCGCCGCGCCGCCGCCTACGTGTGCAACCTGCTGCTGCCCTGCGTGCTCATCTCCCTGCTCGCGCCGCTCGCCTTCCACCTGCCTGCCGACTCCGGGGAGAAGGTGTCGCTGGGCGTCACCGTGCTGCTTTCTCTCACTGTCTTCCAGCTGCTCCTGGCCGAGAGCATGCCTCCGGCCGAGAGCGTGCCGCTCATCGGTGAGTGGGTGAGGGACTGGACAGGGGTGGGGAGCTAAGGGATCTTGGGGGACAGCCTATCCCCTCCCAGAGACTGGCCGCCACCCCGCCCAGTCCGATGCATGCCGGTTCCCACAAATGCAGGAGTGAGGCCTGGGTCCCCAGAGTGGTTCTCACTTCAGTGTGTAAAGGGGCTGTCCTGAGAGGAAGCCTCATCTGAGATTGGGGGGGAAGGGGTAGGCCCCTTCCAGGGGGGACACTCTTCCCTTACTGGAAGGGGCGGAGGGAAGAGGTCTTTTCTCAAGGAAATGATGGAGGTCACTGTCCCCAGGGTCATAATTATAGTCACAATGTATTGAGTACTCAACTGTGTTCCAGGCACCCCTAAGCCCTTGACGTTTATTGGCTCAGGGAAGCATTACCACACACCTAGGAGGTAGGTTCTGTCGTAACTCCGACAGGATCAGCCGCTTGCTCCATGTCATGGCGTAATCACTGGAGAGGCTGACTTGTGGGGAAATGCAGCCCCCAGCAGTGAGGGGGGAATGAGGGGACTGGTACTGAGTTGGCCAAAATGTCTGTTACGTTTTTTTCTGTAAAATAAAAGACACATTTCATTTTCACCAGTAACTTTATTGATTTGGATATTTTGAGTATGTTGGCTGTCTCCCACTATTGGCTTCTAGTGGGTAGAGGCCGGGGGTGCTGCTAAACATCTTCCAATGCATAAGACAGCCCCACAGCAGAGAGTTATTTGGCCAAAATGTCAATAGTACCAAGATACTTTGCAAACCACTTTTGACACCTTCCATCAGTTACAGCACCTTCTCCATACACTGCACAGATCTTTTTTTGCATTTCAGTTGCATTTTTACCTTCCTTGAAATAATAAAACATAATACATCAAAAATGTTGTGTATTTTCTTCCCTCTTCAATATTAAAATGGCTGTACAGAAAGTCACCAATTTTGATGTTTTTTTAAATGCACACTGATATGACAGTTGTCACAATACAATCAACAAAATTGTTTCAAATAAAATTAAAGACAACTAAGCACTATTAGAGGCATCATGTGGACAAAAACATAACAGGCTTTTCTGGCCAACCTATAGCTTCTGAGAACCCACTTGTGGGAATCCAGACCGGGGAGACCTTGGCCCTTACCGCCTTCTCCTTTCATTCACTGGGCTTGGAGGGTCCTGAGAGCCTCATGGTGGGTTCCTATTTGTGCCGAGGTGGCTGGGAAGCTCAGGCCCTCTGAGCTCTTCTCCGGGCCCCAGCTCACTCTGTCTCTTGCAGGGAAGTACTACATGGCCACCATGACCATGGTCACCTTCTCCACGGCGCTCACTATCCTTATCATGAACTTGCATTACTGTGGTCCCAGTGCCCGCCCAGTGCCAGCCTGGGCTCGGGCTTTCCTACTGGGACACCTGGCACGGGGCCTCTGTGTGCGGGAACGAGGGGAGCCCTGTGGACAGTCTGGACGGCCTGAGTCACCTCCCAGTCCCCAGCCTCCTGCTGGCCCCCCAGCAGGCCCTTGCCATGAGCCCCGGTGTCTCTGCCGTCAGGACGCCCTGCTGCGCCACGTAGCCACCATTGCCAACACCTTCCGCAGCCACCGGGCTGCCCAGCACCGCCATGCGGACTGGAAACGCCTGGCCCGTGTGATGGACCGTTTCTTCCTGGGCATCTTCTTCTCCATGGCCCTGGTCATGAGCCTCCTGGTGCTGCTGCAGGCCCTGTGAGTCCCAGGAGTCTGCTGTAGCCACAGCAAGTCCAGACAGCAATGGAAAGGCCCGGTGGGTGGTGGTCCTCAGATGGCCCTCCCAGTCTCTCCCCACTGTGCCTGTGAGCCTAGGACACCTTTTCCCAGGATTAGCTCTGCTGAATTCACAGGCCATGAGGGAGCACTTGTTGTCTGTGCATCCCGATCTCTAAGGAGAATATAGAGCTTGCTGCTCCCCTGATTCCCTTGAGAGGAGGAACTCTCTAAGAAGGGTCCAGATCAAAGTGCAGCCCTGGGGGGCAACTGAACTTCCATGATGAGTGTTAGAGCTTTCAGCGGGGAGAATACAGAACTGATGTCCTACCTTATCTGCCTTCCTCGGTGGCTGCTGTGACACACACTTGGTCTTGCTGTCCCTGCCTCAGGGCTCAGGGAAGGGGACCGGGGATTCAGATTCATGATCTAGTTTCCAGAGCAGGAGGTCACACAAGGATCTGGCCCCAAAGCCCCAACTCAATCATTAAGTGTGTGCCTGGCACTTTCTCAATGTCCTGTCTTACCTGCGGGGCCTGTGGGGGTGGGAGATGGGGATCCAGGTTTGTCTCTCTAGAAACAGGAACCTTGGGACTCATGGATTAGAACAGGAATTACATCTTTGCTCACAAGAAAATGATGGATTTGACCAAGACCTCGGAGGGGACCTTAAGCTCTGCTCTAGATCCTGCTCTCTTCCCTCTGGGGCTAGCTTGGGTCACTTCGTTGCCACACACTGAGACTCAGAGAACTTGAAAGTGTCCAAGGGAGGGGCAGCCGGGACCAGAAGAAACATATGCCAGTTCACAAGGTATATGTTTCTTCCTGACTTTCAGGCTTTCCCCAGCACCACCTCTTTGCTCCAGCCCTGGCTCCTGCCCTCAGGAACCTCACAGCAGGACATGGGCAACTGGCATGGATATGGGGTGTAGAGAAGCCCCAGGGACCTGTGGGGGCACAGAGGCGGCACCCAACCCAGCAGGGTCAGAGGGGCCAGAGAAAGCTTCCGGGAGGAGTTAATAGGAGCTTGCCAGTTGCGCATGTGGGGCATTTGAGCCACACCAGCAAGTACCTTGGCCAAGTGCTTTCCTCCCCAAGCACCCCCACCCCCAAGCAAGTTTGATCTTCTATCTCCAAGGATTTGTTGGCCGTCCTTGAGTCCCCCACCTCCCCCTCAATACCTCACTCCTAGAACACTGGATAAAGTTCAGGCCCAGAATTATTTTCCTCCACCACCAGGCCTGGCAGCTGCCGGAGAAGGTCCCAGAGTTCCCTGCAGGTGGCGTTTCTGTGGATCGTGGCTGCACTGAAAGCACACATGTGTACCTTCTCCCCCCATCTCCTCCTCCCACTCCCCTGTTGCTAACCCTCCTTGAGATCTTCATTTCTATGTTTCCACTCCTGATCTAGCTGACCTTTTAGTTTGCTTTTGTTTTAGATGTGGTTGTTAATAACTGTGAGTTTGTTGTCCTTTCACTGTTCATGTTTCTTTAACTTCTTTTTCTTAGATAAGTCCCTTTAACATTTCATATAATAAGGGCTTGGTGATGATGAACTCCTTGAATTTGATCTTATCTGAGAAGCACTTTATCTGTCCTTCTGTTCTAAATGAAAGTTTTGCTGGGTAGAGCAATCTTGGTTGTAGGTCTTTAGATTTCATGACTTGGAATATTTCTTTCCAGCCCCTTCTTGCCTGTAAGGTCTCTTTTGAGAAATCTGCTGACAGCCTGATGGGGACTCCTTTGTAGGTGACTGTCCCCTTAGCTCTTGCTGCTTCCAGGATTCTCTCCTTCATTTTAATTTTGGCTAATGTAATTATGATATGCCTTGGTGTGTTTCTTCTTGAGTCCAACTTTTTTGGTACTCTCTGGGCTTCTTGGATTTCTTGGAAGTCTATTTCCTTTGCCAGATTGGGGAAATTTTCTTTTATTATTTGTTCAAATAGTTTTTCCATTGGTGGTTGTGTCTTTCCCCCTTCTGGTACCCCTATAATTCGGATATTGGAGCGTTTAAAGATGTCCTGGAGGTTCCTAAGACAGTATAGACAGTAGATAGAAAATAGATGGGGGGGGGCAAGAATAGTATGGGAAATATAGAACCTAAAGGACTTGAGACACATGGACATAAACTAAAGGGGGGTAATGGTGGGGTTGGGGGGGCAGGGTGGAGGGGAATGAAGGGGGGAATAGAACAACTGTAACAGCATAATCAATTTAAAAAAATAAATAAATTTTAAAAAAAGAAAAAAAAAAAAAAGAAAGCACACATGTGGCCGACGTCTCGTGTTGGGCAGAGGCGGCAGGCAGGGCTGTTCAGAGTCTGACGGGTCAGAGGAGGCCTGGGCTCTCTGGGGAGGCCCCCCCGACAAGGAGCCACAGCAGCAGTGCAAGGCACCAGACTGTAGAAAGGGGGCCCCGATCCGTGGCTGCAGGGAAACAGAGGCAGAGAGAAAGACTTAGGGGTGAAGGGAGGGAGGTACACAGAGACAAGTCAAAGAGAAACGAGCAGAGCGAGCTGGAAGCTCACGGCTGCAGGCAGACGAAGAGCAACGGGTTAGGGAGGCTGGGGGACAATACACGCAGCAGCTCCAGCAGGGGGTTAATATCCCAAATATGTAAAGAACTCATACAACTCGACACCAAACAAACAACCAGTCCATTTAAAAAAATGGGCAGAGGACTCGAAGAGCCACTTCTCCGAAGAATACAGACAGATGGCCAAAGATATACGAGAAGATGGTTAACTTCACTAGCTTTTAGGGAAAGGCACATCAAAACCACAATGAGACACCACCTCACACCTGTGAGAATGGCCGTCATCAACAAGACAGGTGACAACAAGCCCTGGAGAGGCTGTGGGGGAAAGGGACCCTCCTTCGCTACTGGCGGGAATGGAAACCGCTACAGCCGCCATCGAAAACAGTATGGCGGCTCCTCAAAAAATTAGGAATAGCGTTACCACATGAGCCAGCAACCCCTGTTCTGGGTGTCTACCCAAGAAACCTGAAAACATTTATTCGCACAGATGTATGCACCCCTTCGTTCACTGAAGCACTATTCAGGGCAGCCAGGGCGTGGGGACAGCACTGGATGGAGAAGATGGGGCACGTGTGTGCGGTGGGACACGTGTGTGCGGTGGGACACGTGTGTGCGGTGGGACGCTGCCCGGCATGGAAAGGACGAAACGCGGCCGTTTGTAACAACGGGGATGGACCTTGGAATTATCACGCTTAGTGAACCAGTCAGAAAAAGCTAAGAACCATGATTTCATTCGTATGGGGGCATAAAACTGAGAGTAACAAATGAAGAAAAACAAGTAAACAACAAAAGAACCTCACAGACACAGACCCAGCATGGCGGTGCCCAGCGGGAAGGGGCGGGGCAGTAGTAGAGGGGTGGGGGCAAACACGTGGTGACGAAGGTGATCTGATTTGGGCCAGTGGGCACACAAGCCATATACAGATCAGGTATCACAGAAATGTACACTTGAAACCCATGTAATCTTACTAACCAGTGTCACCCCAATAGATGTAATTTTGAGAAAAAGGAACAGAGAGGAAGAGCCGGGAGATAGCAGAGGTTACCAGGCCCACCCCGGCCTCCTGTGGGCACACAGAGGCCTCACAGGGTGGGAAGGAGCGTGCGCAGACAGACAGCGGGGTCCCGGTTCCTCTGCCCAAACCCCGGTGGGAGAGATTCTGGTGGGCCAGGGGTGGGGAGATCTTAAACTTTTCTAGTGCATGAAATTTCATCAAAACTCAAAGAAGCAGGTTGAAGGCTAGAGACTGGCTTCTGGCCCCTGGGGAAGTCACTTCCGTCTCTGGGTCTCGCCTTACTATACACTGAGGGTCATGCTCCCTGCTCTGCCCCCCGCCAGTAGATTATTGTGCAGCAGGGGATAAAATGACATGGTATCCGGGGAGGTGGGGGCCCGCCTGGGGGGACCCTGGAGCTTAGGGTCAGGCTGTCTGGCCCCCAGCCCTCACTAGCTGTGTGCTGTAGGGCTGGTTGCCTCACCGCTCTGTGCCTCAGTTCCCTCATTTGTAGAACTGGGGAGGTGACAGCCCACACCGCCAGGCTGTGGTGGGGATTCTTGGCATGGTGTGCCCAGAACTCTGAGTGATACTGTGTCAGGGGAATGGTGAGAACCCAGTGGAGGCTGGGGCTCCTCCCTGTCCACTGCTCACAGAGCCCAGAGGGAGGAATGGCAGCTGCAGTGCCTTCCCTGGGAATGGACTGTTCCAGTAGGTTTCCCTGGAAAAGCCTGTTCCCAACTTGAGAAGTGGTGGCCCAGGTAAGCTCTGGCACAGCAGGTGTTGGAGGGAAGAGAGGTCATGGCTGCAAGTGACCTGGGGATCATCTAGTCCAATCGGCTTATTATACAGACAGAGAAACTGAGGCCCAGAGAGGGAATAATTAGTCACAGAGTTAGGACAGAGCCTGGACTAGAGCCCAGGTGTGTAGTACTTGAGGTCTGGCCTTCGCCTTGGAAGATGGTCTGAGGGAGTGCCGAGGTCAGTAACAGGGACAGAGCGCTGTACAGGTGAAGGAGGAGAAGGTCTGGGGAGGACTTTGTGGGACCAGCCTGCCCCTCCATCACCTCTGTGCAACCCGGATCTCTCTGGGGCCTGATTGCCGTCTCCTGTGAGGGAGGGGCAGCCGCACGAAGGGCGGCCCAAACACCGCCCCATACATATAAATAGCACCTCTGCGAGAGCTTAGCTATCCCCACAGGGGTCTGCTTCAGAGCGTTTACTCATTTATTTTTAATGAAAAGAGGGTCGTTTTCCTTATAAGGGGGACATCCAGGTGAGGGGTCCAACCCCAGGGCAGCCTGCCCATTCCCAGTGGAACCCCTGCCCCAGAGGCCCACAGCCCTTACCCGAGTTTTCCAGATGGCAGGACCTGGATTTGCACTGCTTGTCTGCAGAGAAGAAACAGAAAAGAATCAAAGGCTTAACAGCTCTCAGCATGGAAAACACCGGGCCCTCCCTGACTTGCCCTGGGAAAGCTGGTACTTTCTCCTCCAGTTCTGCTTCCTTCGGCGAGACCTCCCTCCCCTAGGTTTGACTTGATATCTGAGCAGCAGGTCCAGAGGGACCCATCCCTCTGGGGTCTGCGTTTGGGCCTGTCCAGGCCCTCCTGCTCCCTTCGCCTCCCTGCCGCACCTGCCTCTGCCTCTCCCAGCCTGGCCCAGCAGAGGGCAGGCTGGTTCATGTTGTTTGCGTGTCTTCCTCACTTTCTGTCAACTCACGCATTGCTCATGATGCTGCCCAAGGTGGGAACTGAAGCCACGTGGAGCATTCTGCTTATTAGACGTGGTCCACAGTTCCAGCAAAGTCTGCCCCTAACTGTGAAAACTGGGCCTTGCAGCCCTAACAGATCAGGAACCTGGGCCCACCCTCACGGTTCCTTTGGCAGGACCTGGGGGGTGGACAGGAAGAGTATCCGAGACCCACCGCAGCCTGAACTGGAACCCAGGGGCACAGCACCCACCTGAGGTCTCCCCACCCCCACCCAGCACACGCGACAGCCCAGGATTTCTGTTCAAAATAAACACTGTCCTCTTGGAGACTGAGGTTGGGGTTCTTGTCATTTCTGGCCACCGCAATCTGCGTGCCAGTACTGTAGCTAGAAATTCGTTCCCTTCCAGCTTCCAGCCAGGAGAAAAGCCTGACCCGGTCTGTTTGGCCCTCAAATGGCCAGAGACCCCTGCCTTGGTCAGGAAACCCTCATTAGCCTCCCAGCAGGCAGGCAGCCAGCTCTGGCTCAGGCACGGCCGGGGATGAGAAACTTCCTGCGGCAGGTTGCCTCCCCTCTGATGGAGGGAGGAGGGGTGGGGACAGGACTGTGCCCTCTCACTGTCGGCTTGTTTTTAATGTTTCTGTTTGTATCTCCTCAAAGCAGGGCGAGCTTCCTCCCCTCTGCACAGGTGCTCACCCACGGGCACCTCTCACCTTTGATATACTCGCAGTTGTAGGTGCTGTGCTTGCCCAGGGACCGGAGGTAGATGCGGGTGGGGCCCTGGGCCGGTCTGCTGGTGTTGATCACCTGGAAGGTCTCAAAGGGAGGGATCAGCACCTCCTCCTCCTCAGGGAAGAAGGAGTAGCCCCTGATAGGGACCCCGAGACAGGTCCAGATGCCAAAGAAGGTTTCCTTCCCAAAATTCTGGGCGGCGGCATTCTGCAGAGATGCCGAGGCGAAACCCCCCAGCCGGACAGTGGCCCCCGGCCCCGCTGGCCGGAAGCGCAGGCCTTGCACCCCCCGAAACACCTGCTGGCAGCGGGGGGAGTGCCGGGCCCTGCCCAGCAGCTGCAGAGCCTCGGTCAGCAGGAAGTGGAATGTCTTGAAGGAGAAGTGTTGGAGGTAGTGGGCTCGGGTGCGGCCCACCTCGCGCAGGGCCGCATTGAACTCCTTGAACAGGGGGCTGTTGGCCGTGTAGGCCAGGAGGGCCACCCCATGCTCATCACGGAAGCCGGGGGGTGGGGGTGGGGGTCGGGGTCCCCAGGCTTGGCGCTCCTGCCATCGGCTGCTCGCCAGCACCCAGCCGTCAGCATACACTTTGTTGGTCTGGAACTCCGTGCGGTTGAGCTCCTGGAGAGCATCGGTCATGGCTGCCGCACAGCCAGCGTATTGGTCGTCGAAGGAGGTTGGGGCCATGTCCAGGGGCCTTTCTTGAGAGAAGAGTTCTCGTCGTGTGATGGGGTGGCTCTGGGCCTGAGGGAGAGAGAGCAGCAAGGACCGAGAGGACGGGCCCCGGGAGTGTGGGAGCCTACCCAGCTTTCCCGCCGCTGAGCAGGGGAAAACACTATGAGGGCCCCAAACTCACCTGGAGGGGAAGTGGGGCTGGGAACTCCTAACTGCAAACTCCCTGAGACTGGGGTTTGGGGCTGTCCCCTCGGGCTGAGCGAGCCCCAAGGGAAGCATCAGGCATTTTCTCTTCCCTCTGCTCTTCCTTCCAGAATTCAGAAGAAGCCGACAGCTCAGCTGCCCGCTGGCATGGGGATGGCAGAGGGTGACCGTACCTGAAGTGCTTCCATGAGGCCCATGGACACAAGCAGCAGAGGCATCACAACAGGCGTCTGCATGTTGGAGGTGACCTTGGGTAAATTATTGTCTCTTTGGGGGTCTCAGTTTCCTTATCTGGAAAATGGGAATGTTAACCTATACAGTTTACTAAACATTCATTGACACCTAGTCTCTGCTACTCCCAGTGCCAGGCACAGAATCACCACATAGAAACGGAGGCTCAGGAGACGACCCTTCTTGCTGCAAGCAACATGGGAGACTTCCTGGAGGAGGTGATCTGTGAACAGGGACTTGCAAGATGAATGGGAGAATAAGGATCAGTGGAAAGAGGGAGAGAAAAGTTTGGGGTGGTGCCACGTGCTCTTCCAACCACGTTGTCTGACAAGGTCCGGGCATGGAGGATACGAGTTCAAGGAATTCGTCTCCCCGGAGGAGAACACGGCATCCAAAATGGGTTAACAATTGGCTGTTTTATTTTAATTATTTTACTCTTGCTACTGAATATAGACATTGAACTGTACTTACTTATTCCTGTGAAAATCACCCAAGAGGAAGGGACAGTTCAGGGGAAAACATTAGTATTCCCCACGAAACTGCCTGAAAGGATGGAAAAATCCCCAGAGATTCCCCTCTCCCTTATACAGGGGGGTACGACAGCCAGGGTAATGTAATTGTTAACCATAAGGGAAAACACGTCAAGTTGTATAAATTACCCTGGTTTGAGCAACTTAAAGCGATCAGGACCACCATGGTGTACCAGAAATAAAAACAAGTTAGATCTCTTAAATCAACAGTTAAGGCCAGTTAATAAAGAACCAGGTTGTTGCTGCAAACATGGCTTGGGCTGCTAACAGTTGAGGGAATGGAATAACAGGTTAGAAAGACTTTCCCACGACTGTTCCTTACCCACAGATACAAAGGGTCTTCCAAGAAAACAAGTAAAACTATATAGACCCCGACCCACAGCCCAGGGATACGGTCAGGACGGTCGAGATGCATCTGCAAGGCAGAGGCAACTGTGGCTGGATTTCCTGTCTATCTTTCCTTACATGTTTGTTTTGGTGATCAAAAGGTGGTGGGATTGTTAGACACCTGTATTTCAGGTTCATTGATTCACACAATTCCAATGAAGTTGCACAAAATAATTTCTTGACCAGAGAACAAAGCTCCCTCTAATGAAACAATCCCTGCATGTTTAGAAGTTGTTGAAGTAACAGCCCCTCTTTTACCTTGAATAAGAATATATATCAATTAGACAGGCAAAGAAATAACAAAAGCTGGCTAGTTATTACAAACTAAACACGTAGAAACAGTTACTAAAGAGTCAGAGTTTATAGTACACAGAGAAACATTTTAGACAGAAAAGGATAGATCGCTAAGTTAGACATCACAAAGGCCTTATAATAAATTTCCTATTACCTCTACTCAATCTAGCGTATCCTTTTGCCCCATGACAAATTCTGAGAAATTTTAATATACAATAAGATATTCAAATTCTGTACATACAGCTACTTCTAATTGTCCGATTAATGGCTCTCCTGGTCAAAATAATCTTTGTTTATTATAACTGAATCTATGGGAACTTTCATATTTTTCCTGGTTACCTTCGTATTGACTTTTTCTGCTTAACTGATCATGCTATACTGCAAATGTTAATCACTACCTAAAATGAAAATATAAAAACCGGCTTGTACTTGCAGTAAACGGAACAGAGCTTCACTGTCCTTCGAGGCGTGTTGTCGTCTGTTACCCAGCGCCGCCGCCTTACCCGCCTTTGGGAACCCCTGGACCCTGCTGCGGCTGGTCCGAGGCCGAGTGGGGAAAGGAGTTTGAGGTGGCAGGAATGAGAGGAGCAAAGGTACTGGAGGCAGGAACTCTCAGGATGTAAAGAGTAAGAAACACTTTATCTAGTGTGGCAGTGATGTGGGAAGCTTTGAAAAACCTTTGCTCACCCAAAACCCCAGGTGCCCTGGGAGACTGATAAGGCCGTCCGGGAAAAGCAAACAGCAGGATAGTCACAAGGACTGGGGCTAGCACCCCCACTGATAGAACTAATTTTCACATTTAGCCTTTGTACTCTGCTTCTGCCCCGTAGATAGAACTAATTGCCGCATTCCACTTCTGTATCCTGCTTTGCTACGTAGGCAGGAAGACCCCGTAGGCTATATAAAACCCCAAGAATCCTTTGTTCTGGGCTCAGAATTTGGAGACTGACTTCTCTGGGCTCGTACACGTTAATAAATCTCGTACTCCAGAATCCCTCGGTGTCTGGTTGCTTTGTTTTCCTATAACAGCAGAACTTGCAGTGTGGGAATGTCAGAAAGACTGGGGCCAGTCATGAAGGAGCTGCCACAGGCGAGGGGCCTCAGCTTCACCTGGGGACATAAGGCTGAAATGGCAGATCCAGGGGTGGTTGGCTGCTGGAGCCAGAGCAGGACTCCAGAGACAGGCTTAAACCAGGGCTCGAGGAGCCAGAAGGCTTCGCTTCTCCCTCCAGTCCTGCTGAGAGCTGAGCCCTCTTCCCTGAACCCTCAGGGCTTCTAGGACAGAGGCAGATGTAGATCGCCAGGTGGGGAGGAGAGAGGGTACCAGCCTCCCCTAGGAAAGCTGGAGGGAACCGCAGCCTCCTGCACCCTGTGGGTGGGCCCCCAGCACCAATAATAAGGCGTCTCAGCTTTGGGTCAGAATTGGAACAGTTTCTAAGCCGGTGTTGCTGCTTCTCTTCTGTTTATTTTACTACAAAGTAATGTGTGCTTGTTGTGGGGAAAAAAATGTGTAAGTGAAACACAAAATCTAAGTTCCCTTTTCTGCTTTCTCTCCCTCTGTGTTCCCCTTCTCTCTTACGCATGCCTGCCAGTGCGTGTGTGTGTCCGGGGGTGACCTGTGATAAAGGTACCCATCAGGACCTTTTCCTATGCTAAAATAATGTAACTGTAAACATAATTACATAGCTTTATACAGACATTTACTATAATTACATATAAATACAAAGTCCTCTGCAAACAGCCTATTTGTGTTATTTTGTTCAAAAATAAAACTGGACCATCCTTACACATACATTCTAGAACCTTACAGATATGTCATGGACTTCTTCTGTGTTGTACACACATATCTGCCTTGTTCATTATAATGGCATCATGATATTTGGGGGCACAGCCAAGCAGTGATTTACTCACTTCCTTATTAATGGACGTACATTTCCCCCCAATTTTTTATATTACATATAATACTACACAAACATCCATGTATATGTATATAAGCACTTGTCTGTTGTAGACCTCTGCCTGGTTTCAGGAATTGTATCTCGACCGTTTGTGACTAAGGGCGAGGGACCACCTTTGGAATGCCAGCCGCAGGAGACAAAGCCTGTCTCTGGTAGCAAATGCTGCCTCAGTTACCTCTCCCTGCCCCCAAAGCTTGGTCTGAAGTCAATGACGGGTAAGACCCCCTCACAGTGGGGGGCAACCTAAGCCAGACTCGATCACCTGGGAGGCCTTCATGGAAGGACTCGGGGGCTGCAACAAAGAGCAATGGACTCCTGCTGCCCGCCCCTGCTTTGACATAGCCCGAGTCCCCACATCCTCTGGGAGAAGTGCTTCCTGGCTCTAATCCCTTTAAGCCTGAAAACCTGTTGGGGAGAGGTGCAGCTCCTTGCATTGCTAGAGCGTTTTAGGGGAACAATCTGGCATTATAAAGAGTTCCTGATAAACCTGTAAAATCTGCTCTGCTGAGTGCTTTCATTCATATGTTAAGGGTTTGAGCAGGAAACGCTAAAACTCTGTTCCTGGCAGACTTAGACTCATACTAAGCCCTCAGATTTCTTTGTAATGTTATCTACTGTTTGATCCTTGCCACCCTGTATTCCTGTGTATTACACCCAATAAAAGACTATGGAGGAGGGGGCTTGAGGCCTTTTTCTCCTCAGAGAAACTGGCCACTGCGCACTTCTCCCCAAGCAGATCACGTCGTGTCTCGGCCATATTTACTCTTCATCCGTGGCAACTGGGGGGACTTGCGAGGAAGTTGCCCCCACACTTGTCTACGTGTGCGCATGTTTTATAGGGAAGGTATCAAGAAGCTTGATGATTTTTAAAGTCCATGGACAGTGTTTCCCCAAGAGGCACCGCCAGCCTGCCCTCCCACCAACAGTGAATGAGCCTGTCCTTTCCTCCATGTCTTTGCCAGCGCTGGATATAATGAATGTCCAAGTTTCATTTAACTCGATCGTAACTTTAATCTTTAATATTTCAAAGTTCTAACCTCATTGTATTAAAGGTAGCACATTTTTATCATTCAACGTGTCCATAGTCCAAAAGGTGCACAGTGGCACACGCATCCCTCGCTCACGCCCCAGCCCCAACCTCATCTCCCGGGGCGACCCATGTGCCGTCTTTCACGTGTCCTTGCGGAGACACAAGCAGATTCACAGGCTTTTCTGTTTTTCTTCTCTGCACAAATAGTAATACAGTCGGTGGTTCTTTATTTTTGAAAATCTCACGAAAGCTGAAACCTGCCCTCAGAAAATAGCTCTCTGCACCTTCACAAAAATGTTACATTAATTTCAGGTAGTAATTCCTCTGCCCCATCTCACTCAGGTTAAGCATCCCTGCTTCCTCATCCCCTCTGGCTGTTGGGGAGATGGCCTGAGGTTTGATAAATCAGTGATTCAAAGACACTGGGATTCTATGTGTCTGTAATTTTATGAGTCTCCAAATCTAAGAGCCTATGTATTGCCAATGTACAGTTTAAACTGAGGCATGAGTTTCTGTGGGCAATGGTGTCAGCAGCAGTTTTTATCAAATTCAATTTGTCTGTCCCGAACTGAATTCGTTATCTCCTCTCCCTAAACAACAACAAAAAAAATCGAGCCTCTGTAATAATACATCAGGCTATAATACTGAGGCTATAATACTCAGGCTATAATATAATAATACTGAGGATAAAAGTATGAACAGCAGCAACAGCAAACCCCTCACCTCTGCTTCTTTAAATTCTTTTGAAGTGGCGATGGAGCTGGAGTGAGCAATTTCAAGTAGCATGTGATTCATGTTGTAAAAGGAACCAAAAGGGCCGAACAAAAACAAATTTGTACCAGGAATGGGGTTTAAATGAAGGGCTGACCAGACGAGGCACAGAGTAAAAGGAGTTGAAAACAGCTTCCCAGTGGTGTGTAAAGCAAGAGACACAGCTCCCCAGTTCCAGGATGCAATGCTAATGGGCCAGGCATGTGGCAGCAAAATCGACTTGAACTCTTGTTTGTGGTCTCTCAGAATCCACCCAAGAGCTTGAGCTCCATAGTAGACCCTCTCTTTCTGGTGGAGAACCCAGCCCACCGGTTCAGGTGGGGCTTGCCCCCATGGCGGGGAACGCGTGAGCCCAAACTGGTACTTGACTACCCTGGCCATTGTGATCGGCCCAGGGATGGACAAATGACCTAAGCAAGGCCCATCAGAGTCTCTCAGGACAGAATCCAACCTCCTCTGGCATTTGAGGCCCTCTGCGACCCACCCCTCCGGGACCTCTTTAGCCTCCTGCCCTACTACCCCTGCTTGGCTTCTACAGCACAGAACAAAGTTCCAGGCGCGCCTTCACTGTTTCCCTCCCTGTGGCTCTGCACACACTGCCATCTGCTGGGGGTACCCTTCTCTTGCTGTTCACTCTTCCAGGCTTAGCTCAGGGGTCACCTCCTCCAGGAAGCCCCCTCACTCCTCTGGATCCTGTGCTTTTCTGTCACTGTCCTGATTGTTCTGTGCCGCCTGTACATGTCTGTCTCCCCCTCCTGGCTTGTGAATTCCTTGGGGGCAGGAACCAGCTATGATGTATTCTGTGTTCCCAGAGTTCAGCCCAAGGCGATACCCCGGTGAGGCCTCCCAGAATCTTTGCTGAGAATCTGAGAGCCTTTCTGGGCACAACTAACAACGTGGATCCTGCAAGCAGGTGGATCGATGACTCTGGTGACTAGTTTTGGGGAGGAAATGGGGTGGGGACTAGAGGACAGGGGGAAGCATGGGAGCTGACGGAGTGGAGGCACCAAGCAGCCCCTTTTCACACCCAGCTGCCCTTCTGTCCTCATCTGCTCTGGACACTTCTTGTTGGTTTCCCCTTATCTGGGCCCTCATGGAACATTCCTTTCTGGGGATGTGACTTCGAATGTTTCCCCAGGAATCTCCAGATTTCCCAGTGGCCCCAAATGTCTCTGTCAAAGGCACAGTGGGGTCTGAATGTCTGTGTCCTCAAAAGGCATGTGTTGGAATCCTAATGTCCGTGTGATGGTATCAGAAGGTGGGGCCTTGGGAGGTGATTAGTTCTTGAGGGTGGGGCCTACTTGAATGGGATTAGTGTTCCAATAAAAGAGACCCCCCCAGCCCCCTTCCACCATGTGAGCACAGTGAGAAGGTACCCCTGAGGTCCAGGGAGGGAGCCTTCATGCAGCCACGCTAGCACACTGACCTTGAACTTTCAGCCTCCAGAAATATGAGGAAGAGACGAAGATAAAAGAATCCCTGAAACTTGTCCTAGTGATTCCTAAAACACTACCATTGATACCCCAAATTCTCCCTAAAAAATCTCCCCTGCCCAGTGCCGGGGAGGAGGGCGGGGTGCCCCTTACCTAGGCCTTCTCCAGGGCAGGAAAGCTGGTGTTGGGCTCCTGTAATGGCCGCCAGGGGAGGGGGACGTCAGGTTCCTCCTTTATACTGTACCTCCCCCACACAGCTGCTCAGAAATGCGACACTCCCCCATCTATTTCTGGATGTGTCCTCTAGGCTCAGCAAGTAGCCTCTGCCCAGACTGCCCTGGGCCCGTGGTCTTCCCACAAAACAGGGAATCCCTAAAGCCAGAGAGAACGTGGACTGAGGCGTGGAGGTCCTGTGTCCAGCACCGCTGGCCTCTCCTTACATCCGCTCCTCATGTGAGCACACAGACTCCCCAAAGGTGCGAGGAGAGGTTCCCAGACCAAGAAGGCTGGGTCTGGGTCCCAGCTCCAGCAATGATTTGCCATGTAGTCTTGAAGGACTTTCTGCCTCACGCTGGACCTCTGTTCAATGACAAGGTTTGACTCCATCTCTTGGGGCCTTTCTTGGGGTTCCAAGTCTTGGGATGGGAGAAACAGCTCCCTGGAGCCCAGAGGGTGGAGAGAAGACACAGCCATGGCTCAGGTGTGTCCAGTCCCAGGAACTGCTGTCGGTGGACCTTACTGTTGCGGACAGAATCTCCTGCTCCAGCAACTGCAAAGGCTCGAGTCCCTGCGGGCCGGCCACATGTGTACGCAGATGCTGCTTTTCGCAGGGACGGCGAACAGCAGAGAGGCTCCCCGTTCGCTACCTGGGGGACTCTGGGGGTGGCCAGTCTCTTTGGAAAGGGGCGGGACTTGGCTTGAGGCTGTTTGCCTGGCAGGCACTCTTGCTTTGGGGGATGCCACTGTTTCCACTCTCCACCCTCCCCCAAGCCCGGGCACAGTTTATCTTTCTTTTTGGTCTGCAGGAAGGCTTTTGGAGAAAGCAGCAAAGGTGAAGGGAATTTTTCATTTGCCTGGCAGTCTGACAGGAATGGGGGGACAGGGATGGGGCTAAACTAATGCTCCAGACCAGACTGGAGGCCTGGGGTAAATCCAAACTCCGTGCCTACCTCAGCCACAGCAGGAAGTGGGCAGCGTCTCTTAAATCCTGACATTCAGTACCCTCCAGCTCCTCTGTGCACCCTGGGGGAGTACCTGTCCCACCCCCAGAAGCTCAGGCCCCCAGAAAGCTCTTCCCAGAGCTGCTCACTGGTGCCTTATCCCATTACCTCTGACTGGGCATCCAAAACTCAGAGCCAGGTTATTTATAGACAAGCCCACAGAAAGGGAGGGGAAGGGCCAGTGTTTATAAACACCAGGTCACCTGAATCTGAGAGGTCGAGGGAGAGAGGGCCCGGGAGGGTCTGGGAGGGTCTGGGAGGGTCTAGGACGGGGCGGGCTGGACCGTAAGCATCTGGAACAGAGGGCTCTGCATCTGGTCCAACCCTACTGACTGGCCCTACTGACAGGGAAAGGGGCAGAGACGGGAGGAGGTGGGCGCCGCTCAGATGCTGGGCCACGCGTGACCCAACGAGTGGGCCATATGCAAATTGCACGCAAATCAGCAAGTACACAGTGGTGACCTCTTGGCTAGCGAGACGCTCGTTGGGGTCCCAGGCCTAGTGGTCTGGGGGCCAGGTCAGGCCCTCCTGAGGGAGAGACCAGGTCTCATCAGCTCCCTCCCCCAACCCTGGACTTGCTCGGAGCCAAAGAAGGTCCTGGAGAAAGAACCGAAGTTTGCGGAGGGGAGTCCGCGTCTCAGCCCCTTCCTCGCCACTCCTACTCCCTCCACCACGGCATCTGTTGTTGGGGAAGAGAGGTGTTGGATTACTGCCGTGGGGGCTATAGTTAGATGTGGGACTTTGCTGGTCGGCGGGACTCCGGGAACAGGCTGTGCTCGTCCAGACACCCGCCGGCGGAACCACACTGTCCAGTTCTCTGCCTCTGGCCTCCGTGATCTCCAGGTGCGTGCCAGACCAACGCCCCCTCCCCTGCCCGGGTGGAGCCCAGTCACCTGCACCACCGCAAAAAGACCTCCTGGCGGTAGGCACTGAGCTTAGGGGCATCCGGAAGTCAGGGGAGCAGAGACCTGGGGTTCTGCTTGTGCTGGGGGGTGGAGTCAGTAATACCCAAGGCCCGCCCACTCTCTTAGGCCCGCCCTAGGCCCCACCCATGCCTGAGCCCCGGGCCCGGCCCGTCTTCTTCACACCATAGAAGGGGTGTGGATCTTTCCCTACAGCCCACTGAAGCCAGGAATCCGCTGCTGCCACTGGTCCCACCTGCATCCGGACCTCGCCCTCCTGTCTCCCCAAAGATGATGCTGGCTGCTCTGCTGCTCACCCTCAGCTGCCTTGGCCTACACACCCTCTGGCAGGTACCTGGGGAACCATCCCCTGCTACAAAGGAAAGAGTTGGGAGACGGAGGCCTCAAAAATCTCACCCAGGGACTATTCTCTGGGACCCCAGCTCTTTTAATCCTCTTCCCCTTTGCAACCTTCCTCCCTGCAGGGAGCCCCAAGTTCCCATTCCCTCTCCCAGAACCCCCGTTTTTACCAACTGACTGCTCTGGGGTCCTCCTTCCTTCATATCATCCCTCCCTAGGGACCGCCACTGACTTCCTCCTCCCCAGTGTCCGTCTGTGCCACAGGCTCAGCCTGGGCTGGACTCCTGAGTACTGTCCTCGTGCAGCCCCTCCTAGACCAGGGCTCCTCCCCACACCCCACCCCACCCCACCCCACCCCAAGTTTGGGGGTGAGGGCTTCTGAAGCCAGAGAGGACTCAGGAGTCTCCGAGCTGACAGTAACTTGGTGTGGTGGTGGACTACCTGCCGGGGATGGAGAGTCTGAGGATGGGACAGGGTCAGGCACGTGGGACATTGGTGGTGCATTCGTAGTATAATCTGCACCCTGCATCTTAGGGCCAGAACAGCACTTGGACGCCAGCTAGGTCCACTTCCCACCGAGTGTGGGAACCTCTTTGATGACGAGACAACCCCTTTCAGGTTGAACAGAAGCTAAGATCTCTATGCTCCCCTCACAATAGCCCTGTGAGGTTGGAAGTATCCATTTACAGGTGGAGAACCTGAGGCCCAGAAGAGTTAAGAGACTTGCCCAAGACCCCACAGCAAGTAGGTGAGGAAGTCAGGATCTGAACCCTTGTCTGCCTGACTCCAGTGCCTGTGTTATTTAAGGCCTTGAGCCCTTGCCAAATTGTATATACCAGATATTTGGGGATATAAATGAGAGTCTGTGTTTCTGAACTGATCTGCCACCAGGACCCCTGTCCAGTGCTCTGAATCTACACCCTTTCCCTTGTGGCTCCTCTCTTCCTTACCTCATTAGGCCCAGGCTGTTCCTATCCTGCCCCTGGGCCTGGCTCCAGACACCTTTGATGACGCCTACGTGGGCTGTGCAGAGGAGATGGAGAAAAAGGCAGCCGCTCTGCTGAAGGAGGAGATGGCGCGCCATGCCCTGCTGCGGGACTCCTGGGAGGCAGCCCGGGCGGCCTGGGAGCAGAAACGGCCGGGGCTCACCCTGCCCCCCGGCTTCAGATCCCAGCACGGAATCGCCGTCATGGTCTACACTAACTCATCTAACACCTTGTACTGGGAGCTGAACCAGGCCTTGCGGACAGGCGGTGGCTCCCGGGAGTTCTACATGAGGCACTTCCCCTTCAAGGCCCTGCATTTCTACCTGACCCGAGCCCTGCAGCTGCTTCAGGGGGGCAAGGGCTGCACTAGGGGACCCGGGCAGGTGGTGTTCCGAGGTGTAAGCACCCTTCGCTTTGAACCCAAGAGGTTGGGGGATGCTATCCGCTTGGGCCAGTTTGCCTCCAGCTCCCTGGATGAGGCGGTGGCCCACAGATTTGGTAACGCCACCTTCTTCTCCCTAAGGACTTGTTTTGGGGCGCCTATCCAGGCCTTGTCTGTTTTTCCCAAGGAGCGTGAGGTGCTGATCCCTCCCCATGAAGTCTTCTTGGTCACCAGGTTCTCCCAAGACGGAGCCCGAAACCTAGTGACTCTCTGGAGCTATAATAAGACCTGCAGCAACTTTAACTGCGCCTATCTGGGTGGTGAGCTGTGCATGAAGGAAGCAGGACTAGCAGGGGAGGGTGGGGGAGACGTGAAATAAGCCAGGATGTCCCTGTACAGTCCACAGTGCCTTCAGGAGACCTACGTGGTTAATGGGATGCGGAGGGCCAGAGGTCAGCTGCAGCTACTGTTCTCTCCGACTCAGGTCTTGTCAGCTCTTGGCAGGTCCTATCAGTGTTTTCCAGATCTATGCATATTTTCAAATGATTCTGTAAATGTTCTCGAAAAGTTCCATCTGCTGTATGAGTCTAATAGAGCAAACGAGCCCTCTTCAGGAGATCAGTAAGCAGAGGGAAGTGACAGGGGTGCTGCGTGGGATCTGAGAGGACCCTGGGCTTACCGGGGTCCGCAGGGCGCATCTGAGCTGTTCCACATGCTGAGGCAGGGGCAGATGCAGCAGTGACTGGGGCCAGGGTGCGAGCAGGGATGGATGGGCTAACTGGGCAGACTTCCTGGGGCAAGGAGGAGGAAAGGAAGTCAGAAGTTTGCATTTAGGAAAAGGGAAAGGTGGATTGAGAAGGGGGATGGCCAGTGCCAGGGCCTCCTGGGAAGGGGAGTGTGGGGTGGAGGTTCAGTTGACAAGTGAAGGCCTCACCTTGCTGTTTATTACAGGGGAGAAGAGGCGGGGCTGTGCGTTTGCACCAAGTGAGTGACCCCCTTGCCCCCTCCCTCGGCTGCCTCGGCTCCTCCTGGCCCTGTGGGCCCCTCACCTCCTTTTGTTCTCTCTTTCGAGCAGCAGGGGCAGCCAGACTCACCCTCCAACAGGGCCTTCTCTCCGCTCTTCTGGAAGGCCCTGCTCGTGGCCCCCGTGGGGTTCCAGCACTCAGGAGCTGGGCCCTTGAAAGTCCAATGCCTGCCACTTAGGAGTCTTAGAAACTGCTGACCTTCAATATGAAGAAGGGACCTTCGAGCAGCCTTGAAGCAAGAACAAGGTTTCAGACCAGCCCTAGAAGCCATCTCCCCACCTAGGGCGTGGGGGAGTCTGAGGCCACGGAAGAGTGGAGGAAGCCCTGCTATGTGGTGGGGACTCCCTGGGATAAGTAAGGCTAGTACTGTGATGACCGTTTGATTAAACAGTGTTGGAGTGTGGTGACATTGAATTTCATGATTGGTTTATCCCATGAGACTGGCCCATCTGCCCTGCTCTGGCCTTGTGGGACTGAGGGACTTAAAAGAATGACTTCTTCTTTTTTTTTTTAATATTTTATTTATTTATCTTTAGAGGGGAAGGGAAGGAGAGAGGGAGAGAAATGCCACTGTATGGTTGCCTCTTGTGTGTCCCCTGCCAGGAACTGGCCTGCAACCCAGGTATGTGCCCTGACCGGGAATCAAAACTCTATCCTTCGGTTCGCAGGCCTGTGCTCAATCCACTGAGCTACACCAGCCAGGGTTAAAAGAATGACTTCTTTATCACTCCTAGACATGGCACCCCGTGCCAGCACCCCCCCCCCGTCATATATACACTGCAACTCACGAGCCCAAAAGCTTTAACAGTCAGAGGTCCTCATAACCCCCTGAAGGTAGGGACAAGACCGATGGATTCCTCAGCTCACTTGTCAGAGGAGGAATGCAAACCAAGGGAGAAAGCCACTTGCTCAAGGACAGAGTTAGTGCTGAAACCTGGCCCCCACCTCCCAGCCCAGAGCCCTGCACCAGAGACTGAAAGTAACTCAAGGGGGATCCTAAGCCCAAGATACTTGGGATCCTATTGCAAACTGTTTCTCTCTGCCCTGCTCCCACAAGGGTCCCTTTTTGGGGAGAGGGAGGGATTCTCAAAACATGAGGAGACAGAGATTTTCACACGCTCTGGAGGCATCTGACATCCTGAACAGAAACTTTATTGAGGTGAGGAAAGTGGTATAGGCCCCTCCTAAAATGACCCTCACCCTCACCGGGCAGGCTGCTCTACTCAGCAACAGAAGAAGGAACCCTTCCGCTGCAGCAGGAGTCCTCCTTGGCTCCCAGATCTTCCTCCCGGGGCAGGTCCCCAGCCTGCTCTGAGTCCTGCTGTCTGTGCACTAGCACATGAGCTGGGGAGGAAGGACCAGACTCCCCAGGACCTGGAGCCCCAGCCCCTCCGGCATCCTGAAGCCCAGTTTCTGAAGATATCTGGGCCCCCACAATCCCTGGCACTGTCAGCTCTGGGGTCTCAGGGATGGGGGGCCCCAGTTTTTGGACACTGTTGCGCACTCGGGTGATATAGCGGCTGAGGATGCTGGCGCCTTCGGGGGGCTGGTGCGTCCCTCCCTCTGCCAGAGTCCGCTGCACCCCAGCGACCTCACTTTGCAGTCGGGAGACGGTCTTGGTCAGCTCAGTCAGCCTGTTGCCCAGGTCTGCGGGAGGGTGGGCGGGGTGGGGGGAGAGTTGACGGGAGGTCCCCCAGAAGATGAACGTGCCCTGCAACACTTCTATCCCTGATAGAACCCCAAGGCACCTCACGTTTGGGGCTCCTGAGGGACACGTGGGGGAAGTTGGAATGGGGGTCGCGTGGGTGGGTGAGTAGGGGCAGGCAAATCTGAGAGGGGCCTGGTGGTGGCGAGTTCCGAAGACACACAGACGGGAAGTCTGTGGGCCAGGACGGAGTCCGCAGTCTGAAGGCTGGGAAAGTGCTCTAACGGGCGGGCACTTGTGCGTCCGCCCTGTCGGCCTGTTCCCATCTGCGGCGACCCCCAGTCCGGCTCACAGCCATCCTCAGCGCCCAGTCCAAATTCCGCCTCCTCTTCCTCCACCTTCTGGTTCTCTGTTCTCCTACCTTCCCACGAGCCCCTCAAAACGAGAGGCTCCTTCTCGCCTTCGGGTCCCACTGCAGTTTGGGTCCGTCTTAGCCAACTAAGCACTTTCTGCCTAGTGAGACGGTTTCTCTTCCTCACCAGACTGAGAGCTGCCTGTGAGTCCCTGCCCTACACAGCCCCTCCCTCCGAGACAGCCTGGAACAAAGGGCACAGACGTGGCAATGAATGTTGGTTGAGTGAGTGAATAAGTGAATGAACAGTGAATTAAGTAAATGAGTAAATGACTAAGGGAGTGAATGAGAATAAATGAACACGTGAATGAGGGCAAGAAGAAAGGATTACATGAAATGAGCAGAATAAAGAAATGGGTCAGAGAGTAACTCAGTGCACAGGGCCACTCTGCAGGCTGTGGCTCCTGAGGGCAGGGTAGGATGGGGCCGAATATAACCGCAGGCTGTGTGAGGGACGTACGTCTGGGTGCCGTGCATTTGCTCTAACCAGCAAGGAACAGGAATGGGGGAGGCCAGCAACCAACCTTTCCGACCCGTCTCCTCAAACTCCCGCCGGGCAGTCTCTATGTAGCGCTGGACCAGGGCCTTGATGACTCGAAGGCGGTAGGATCCACGGTCTCCATCCCCAGGCCCTGCCCCTGCCCCGGCCCCGGGGTTGGCCTGCGATGGGAAGAAAGGAGGGTGAGAGGGATTCTTCAGGTCAGCTGTTCTCTAGTCACTGCTCCTCCTCCAGGCAATGAAGAACAAAGGCACAGTCTGTGCAGACTTTTCTGTCCATGAAGGCCCCACATATATCAGACCCTGGTGCAGTGTGGGAGGTGGAAGGATGGCGGCCAGGAGTTGGGTGGTGGGGTGAGGGTCAGGAGGCGGAGGGGCAGTGGGCGGAGACCGAAATGTAGCGCAGGGCAGAATGGAATTCTCTCTCTGGCCGCTGCCCCACCGGTGGTTGGTTTTCCTGACTTGCGTTAGTGCAGGTAGCCCTCCCCTTCGAACTCTGAATACTTAGGAACTAGTTATTTATATATATATATAGCTTTATCTTTAAATATTTTATAGTTAGCATATTTACTTTTATAATATAAAAAACAAAGCATTTTATGAAATACATTTAAAAAGGGGATACAGAATTGACAGAGATGGGACAGGCAGAAGTGTAAGAGAGAATGATGGGCCCTTTCAGCCACAGAGTATATAAAGCATTTTTCTTGTATAAAATAAAGAATAAGAATTTTGGGAAGGTAGGGGGCTCTGCAAGGACCACTTGTGTACCCAGCCCTCTGCCTGCTCAGTCTGCCTCATTTCCCCCCTTCCTCACATCTTTTCTACTTAAGGCACCAACCACTTTTTTCTCCTCTTTCTCATCTCCATTATCATCCATCATCCACATTTCCCCTACCTATCCCCTGGGGAATGCAGGACAACTGGGAGGGGGCACATGGTTGGCTCATGAGAGAGCAGGCTAGGAGGTGGGGTAGCTGGAAGAAGGGTGGGGCCTCAGGGGAAGGCAATGGAGGACTGCGGAGCCCCCCAGCTGGCTGGCACGGTGGGATCCAGTGACCCTGCCCAGCCAGGTCTGGCACAGGCCCAGGGAACCGAATATGACCTCAGGTGAAGAACCTGAGTTTCCACCCTAGGGTGGAAGCAGTCCTCACACATACGCACCAGGCATCAGGACAGGGCCAGGGAGTGGGTGGGGGGAGGGATCCAGGAGGGTGACAGGTGTCCATGCAGGTAGCTGGAGCCAGGATGTGGAGGGAACTGGGAGCTTCGGCACTTAGTTTCTTGTAAGAGTCATGGTTTCTCCACACCTTTCTACACGCTGTTCCCTGTGCTTAGATCCCCCTTCTCCACGCTGCTGCCCATCAACCTCCTGTTTATCCTCCAGGACTCTGTTCTGCCCTTCAGGTCTCTAGGTGGTAGCTCCCCAACTCATGTGGCTGGGTCCGGGACCTCTCCTCTGTGCTCACAGCCCCTGTGCTTCCCTCTGTCATAGGCTCGTTGTCCTGTACAATTACAGTCCATTTCCTTCTGCTACTCTAGACTGTCAGCCCCTCGAGGGACCACCATTACACTTAGCTTTATTCCCGGTACACGTGCTTTGGTGTTTGTTGAACAAACTATTGACCAACCAGTTAAGGGAAGGCCTTCCTCACCTGGGGATCCAGAGACCGCAGTGCTCCAGAGGTGGCCTGTTGCCCCATAGTGCCAACCTGGGGGCCTTGGCTCAGAGAGACACTCAGGTAACACTTTCCAAGGGGGACAGGCAGGCCTGGCACTGGTACTGGTCTAAATGGCACAGCAGACTGAGTAGGGGGCAGATGAGGAAAGGTGTGAGCCCCTCGGAGGCCTGGCCTCCTCTCTTAGGCCTCTGTAGCATGCTTTTTTTTTTTTAACATTCAACCATGTCTTGGCCCAGTTTAGGGCAAAAAAGTTGGTGGCTTGGGAGGAGGGTGTCATGGACTTCTGTTGAAGCTGGATGACACAGGGTTGCAAATTTAGGAAAGGACCAGAGCCAAGAAGAGGGAAAGGCATGCCATGTGAGAGAGCAGGAATTGGGAACAGGCTTTCTGGGGAACACACCTGGGAAGACAGACAAGCCAGGGATGTGCAGACAGACGGAAGCAATAGACAGTACAGCTGAAGTCAGGCCTGATAGGAGGACCAACCCCAAGCAGATGAGGTACTCACGAAGGTGGGGATTGGGGGATAGTCTGGCTTCTTGGTTTTGCAGCAGGAGCAGCAACAGCAAATAAACTGGAAAATTCTCCTGAGAGAGTTAGATGGTGGGAAAAGTCTAGTCAGAGGACAGGGTGTAGGGAAATGGGGGCTGTGGTGTGGGTGTAGGGGGTTGGGAGTGAGAGCTCTGAGGTCATCACCGGAGAAGGTAGAAGAGGGCCTTGGGGGAGGGCAGGATGTTGAAGGGCACAGGCAGGGTCAGGCCCTCTCGGAAGTAGGACAGGTAGAGCTTGGAGCGAGCAAACTTCCATTCCACGTCAGCATCGTCCTGTGGGCAAGGGGACAGGGGGCTCTGCAGGGACCACTTGTGTACCCAGCCCTCTGCCTGCTCAGTCTGCCTCATTTCCCCCCTTCCTCACATCTTTTCTACTTAAGGCACCAACCACTTTTTTCTCCTCTTTCTCATCTCCATTATCATCCATCACCCTCATTTCCCCTACCTATCCCCACTTCCTCCCCATTAGTTTTCATTCTTCTGACATCCAATTCCCACCCAGACATTTCTCCAGCCACCAGCCCTAGCCTATCCAATTCCTTCCCTCTCCTTTTTTAGGTTCCCACCTACTTTCCCACAATGCACCCAACCTCCCAACCATAAAGTGAAAAAGAACACTAGCCTCATGTCTGGAGAAACTAACAGCATTACTGAGACCCTCATGTTACAGATGAGGAAAATGAGTTCTCGATGGGAACACTTGTCTCCAGTCACAGAACAAGACAAGAGTGGAGGCAGAGAAGAACCCAAGTGTCTTGGCTCCTTGTATCCTATTCCCCTCTCCCCCTTTCTCCCTTCTTCTCCATGGCCTAAGCTGGCCTCAGTTCACGCACCTCAATCTTCTGGAAGGAGTTGGTGATCATGGCAATGAGCATGTTGAGCAGCACAATGACCATGACAATGGTAAAGATACCGTAGAGGGCCCGGCCCACAAATTCAGGCACAAGAAACTGAGGCATGTCCACCACGCTGTGCTCTTCCATGCCAAACATGGTCCAGAACAGAAACTGGAATGTCTCATTGAAACTGGAACATTGGGACAAAGGGTAGGAAGTGAGGGGTGGGAGATGAGCCTTAGTGCCTCCTGGACACTCTGCTTTGCCCGGTCCAGGACCCAGCGAAAGGTGTTCTTCTTCTGAGAAGTGCTTTGGACCACCCTGGCTCAGAGACACCTGCCATTTCTGAGCTCCAACTTTCATTCTCTCAGTGAATCAACATTTATTGAGCACATAGTAATGCTACAGATGCTAAGGATACAAGACAAGCATGGTCCCTGTCTCCAAGGACCTTATGTTCTAGGGTGGGACCAGGGAGTGAGATGGACAGTAACCATAGCAACATTTTTAAATAGTGGCAAGTGCTATGAAGAAGCATCACAAGATGTTATGACCTAGTCTGGGAGGTAAGGAAAGATTCTTTGAAAAGCATGCAAGCTAGTCTCTGAAGGATCCGTGGGAATCAATCAGGTGAAAGAGAGGGCAATGCGAAGAATGTTCCCAAGGCAGGGAAGCCTGAGAGCATTGAGGAACTGAGAGCAGGCCAGCACAGGTGGTCTCAGAGGGCAAGGGACAGAGGAGCTTATAAGGCAGAGGCTCATGGGATGTAATTAGGGACCAACCTGGCTGTGCAGGACCTTGCAAGATAAAACAAAGATCCTTACCATGGCCCACAAGCATTAGGAAGCTATGAAGAGTTCTAAGCAGGGGGTGATACCTGATGTTCACGTTGGCTGCTGTGAGTAGAATGCAAGGGAAGCAGATGTGGGGGCAGGGCATGGAGACCAGTTAAACTTGCCATGGCCTGGGTGGGAGAGGTTGGTGGTTTGGACCACAGTGGCAGTAACTCCAATGCTACCTCTTCCAGAAAGCCATCCTTGGACTTCCTTCTCTACCTCTGGCTGGAAGAGTGCATCTGTGAGACACTCACAGACCTGAGTGGGTGGGTCCTATCGTATTTATTTGTAAATCCTCTGTTTCATAGCCAGTTCAGGCCTAGATTACTGCAACAACCTCCGCACCTGGTCTCTGACTCAGTCTCCCTCTTGTTATTTCATCCTCTATACTGCATCCAAGGTGTTCTTTCTAAATACTGATATGATGCGTTGTACCTCTGCTTGTCCAATGTGAAATGCCCCTAACTACTGCACCAATGGGCTAAACTACATCGTGTGTCTCCCAGTGCGATGTGATGGAAAGCACACATCATCAGCTAGGTTGTGTTCTTGTCCAAACTGCTTAACTTGAATCTAATCATGAGGAAGTAGACAAGTCCCAACCATGGAACACTCTACAACATAACTTGGTCTGTGTTCTTACAAAAAGTTCATTTGTCATGAAAGACAAAGAGAAGGCAGAGGGGGTTCTAGATCACAGGAGACCAAAGAGATGTGACAACAATGTGTGATGTGTGATCCCAAATTGGACCTCAGGTTTCTTAAAAACCAGAAAGACTTCTGGGGGGCACCTGGGGAGCTCTGAATAAGTAAGGTCTGTATAGTAATGAATATTCCAGAATCAATGTTAACTTTTTTAGGTGTGATAATAGTTTTCTAGTTATGCTCTTGGGAAGCATCCTGAATGATTTAGGGGTGAAATGTCATGATCTTTTCAATGTTTCTGGGAAAATAAAAATAAAGAGCAATAGATCAAGTAAAATGTGGCAAAACATTAACAACTGGTAAAGCTAGATGAAGGGTATATTGCTGTCCATTGTGTTTTTAACTTTTTCATAGAACTGATATCTTTCAAACTAAAAGTTTATGGAGAAAGTGAGGGGCTGAATAAATGAATGAGTAAATGAACAAATAAATGAGAGTGAATAAATAAGAGAGTGATTCACCAAACCAGATAATTAATTACTGAGTGAATAGAGGGGAGGGAGTGGGAGCAGAAAGAAGTGGTTGTTAAGCTCCAAGCTGAGGGTCCCAGACTCCCACCTGCCCACCCCACCTCCACCTGGCATACTTGCCCAGCCGTTCTGTCTCCTGGTAGGGCACGTAGATGTTGTTGAGGCCACAGAGGAAGGCAGTCAGGATGATCATGAGGATGAACATGAACCTGGCAGGGGGTGGGATAAGGGAGGATCAGGCGAGTCTCTGCCCTGGGAGCTCTGGGCAGAGGGATGGGATTGGTGACCTTTCAGGCTCTGCCCCTCTGCCCGACAAGTATTTAATCTGGTTACCACTGAGAGTGGGGAGGTTAGGGGGTGGGAAACGAGAAAGAGTGTGAAGTGAGTGTGGAAGCTGGAGTGCTCTCTGGAATAAAACGTACTGAGTTAAAACAGTCAGAGCTGGGATGGGCCAGTCTCCCGGGGAGGGACAAAAAAGCAGAGATGTGGTACCCGAAGGCCTGAGGGTCAGGAGGGCCACACTGAACACCAGCAGAGTGAAAACCAAGTGTGAGAGTGAGTTGGCTCTGACAGGATGGGCAGGAAGAGTCCTGGGCAGGGGCGGGAGGTTCTCCCCCAAGCTCTGCTGAGCTGAAGATGTCCATGGGCAGAACCAGAGCTTTTCTCACCAAGGGCACCCAGTCCAGCCCCCGGGGAAGCCAACATTAACTATCGGCTCTGATCAGCTTAGGAGGCCAGATTTGGCTGTAAATGTTTAGGTGATAACACCAAGAAGACTAGATAATGCCATGGGTTCAAAGAGCAGTTGTGTAGTGGAAAGGGTCCACAGGGCCCCCTGAGTCCAGTGCCCTCACCACAAAGGTGGAAACACTGAGGCCAAATGGGGTCACAGAGACAGGGATGGAGCTGGAACTGGAACTCTCAACTAAGGGCTCTTTCTGCTCTCAGTTGTTCGTAACTTTTTCTGGGGTCTTGGGACCCTGAGAATTAGATGAGCGTTATAGACTCTCCCTACAGAGAAGTGCACATTTACACCCCACACTTTGCCTATAGTTTCAGGTTCTCAGCCATCTCTGGAGCTTATGCAAGGAACCCACGTGGAACTGCTGTGCTGACTAGAGTGGGGGCAGGCGGGCATTTCAGAAGGAAGTCTGATGGCGGCGAGTGGAGTATCCAAGGGGAGAAGGCCCTGGGCCTGGGCGGTACACACCGGATCATGTCGTCGATCATCTTGCCAATGGAAATCTGCAGAGTGCCGAGCGACTCGTGGGCTGGCAGAATGTAGGCCAGGCGGGTGAAGCTGAGCATGCTGGTGATGGCAAAGAGCACCTCAGCCAAGAACTGGGGGTCTTCTGAGCGCCATTCACTTCTCTCTGTGCAGGACGGCATGGGTGCTGAGGCTGAGAGCCTGGGAGGAGAAGGGACTGGGGGATTCAGGCTGAGTCAGGGGACACTCACCAGCCGAGGTGAAATAGTGGCAGGCAGTGTCATTGCGGGTGTCCTGGCAATGCACGTGGGCCAGCCCAGCCAGGAGGAGGCGCAGCGCAAAGGCTGCCAGGTACAGGGACAGGATGACCACGTCCAGGAAGTTCCACCAGTCCAGGAAGTAACTGCGCAGGCCCTCTATCCACACCTCCTTACACTCAAACCACAGGAAGCCTGAGGGGGAGGCAGGTCAGAGCTAGGTTAATGGTGGGGGAGACCTGTCCATGGTGGTGGTGAGGGCCAAAACATCACGAGGATGGAGTTGATACAGTGTAAGCATTCAGTGATGTTTTGTGAAAATAAAGACTCCTGGCTGATTCCAACCCCTCCTGCACCAGTGATCCCCGTCAGCTGACATTCAAGGTGAGGAACACCTGGGAGAGGATGATTACCGGGAGGGAACAATTTGTCTGTTTTTTCTTGCCTTCCACTAAATAAATATTGGACAAATATTTAGAGAATATTGACCCGAAGATGGTCCAAGTTATCAACCTGCTCATTATCAGTCAGCATGGGGTCCAATGCCAGACCTGGGGGTGGGGGGTTCTTGGGAGCTGGACCCCGCTTAGCCAGGTGATTGGCACATTGTATTCTTTTCCAGTCTCTGGACACAAGCCTATGCTTTTGCACTCACGGTTCTGTCTGCCTAGAATGCCCTCCCACACCCTTTTGAAGCCAGACTTACCTCTGTGGCCCAGGTCTATAGGGAGACTGTTCTGCATGGCATGGGCCCAGCTCCTACTTGGAGATGCACAGGACCCACACCCACGGATAGGTTCTCCCGTGGGGAATCAGGCCTGCATTGCACCTAGACTGTTATGAGACTTGCTTTTGCTAAAACTCCCTCACCCTGACTTGAGGCAGAAAACATTTACTGCATATCTTTAAAGTAACTTCCTAAAATCCATGCTAAACCTTCCAAGGAGGAGTGTAACCAGTTCAACCACCTTTCCCTTTGCATTTGCAAATATCCTTTTTCTGGAGGTGATTAGCGGCATCCTCTTCTTTGTTTTCTGAAAAAGGTAACCACCTAGAGCAAACCTGTGTGTAATAAATGAGAACCATGATGCAATGTGCCCAGAAAAGCAATAAAAGCTTGTCAAGGCAAGAGCCGAGGCTTATCTCCTCTTGAGAGAGTAGCCTTGTCATCCCTTTTCCTCCACAGGACTCGGTAGTTCATGTGAATTCGTCTTGTCTCATCCATAATGCCACAGACCCCAGGAGCTTGGGTTCGCATCACAGGTCGAATGTTGCCTCTGTGATGCCATCTCTGTGGGGCACTGCTGGGGCCTGTCTCCCTTCACCTCTCAACTTGGAACCCCTCAGGGGCAGGGACCATGCCCATTCACCTCCCTGTCCCCAGTGCCCAGAACAAGGACCCTAGTCATTATTAAACCAACATTTACTAAGCTCCTGCCATGTGCCAGTGGGATCCTGTGGTGAATAAGACAGATACAGTCCCTGACCCTCCAGGATTCATAATCTAGTGAGCGAGACAGGTGAGTAGCCAAGCAGGTATAATCGAGTGTGGGAAATGCTAAGGCTGCAAAGCAGGGAAACAGAGGCTGTTATGGAAATGGGTCCCCACCCTCATTTGGGGGCCAGGGAAAGCTTCTCACAGAAAGTGACCTTTAAGCTGAGACCTGACAGAGGAGTGGGAGCAGCTGGGTGACAGGGAGAGTGCTCTGGGGACAGTGAGTGAGCACCGGCCTGAAACAAGCGGGAGCATGATGTGGTCAGTCACTGAGCCAGCCCCCATGGCAGGAAGAGCACCTTGTGAGACGGGTGGATGTGCAGCACTGTATGCTGAATGGGGGGATGGGACTGTGTTTAATTTATCTGTGTATTCTTAGGCCTTCACTCACAGTGGGGTGGAAACAAGCATTTACTGCAAGAAGAAATGAGGAGTTTTTTTTCCTTAAGACTTTTTCCCCCCATGTTCAGGAGCTATATTGTTTTCACCTCCACCCAGCACAGGCCAGTAATGTTTAACAAATAACTGGATGAGATGAGAAACTTCCCCTCTTGGACTGTTTTTGTTTCTTACTCCAGAGTTTTTTTGGCCACTGTCTGTTCAGGCATCATTGATTAGCTTGGTACAGGGAGGAGCAATGGGCTTAGTGTATTGGTGGCTTGGAGTTTGCTAAGTAAGCTAGAGCTAAATGGGGGGAGGGGGGACCACACAACTGAGGAAGGGGCCACCAGTCCAGCCTGCTGAGCTAACAAGCCAGAGCTCTGCGGATTCTTGTAAACTGCTTGCTGAATTGTTTGAGAATAGTCAATTCTGCTATAGAAGAAAACCCCAAGAAAATGGATGAAACATATTAAGCAGAGTAAGTAGAGCATATGTGTGCAAAGATATATAGAAAGGGTAGGTAGACACTAAATATTCACGACACACTGAATATTCATGAGGCAGATGAGCCACTCAAGATTCATCAGATCTTAAATCAGCGACCCACTGGTGATAGCCATTCTGGCCCCACGTGTCCTCTGCCTGAAGATTGCAAAGAAGAGTCACAGCTGCTCATCAGTGTGATTGGCAAGCTACAGCTGTAGCCGTACTTGCCCTGGGGTTTCTCCCAGAATGCAAGTGTTGGGCTCAGGCAACTTCTGGCTTTTGCATCCCCCGCTCAAACCTCAAGTCTGGTCCTCTTAACAATACCATCATAGGGACTTCCGCCAAGATGGAGGCGCAGGTGGAAACACCTTGCGTCCTCGCACAACCAAATTTAAAAACAATAAAGTTTTAACAATAATAAACGCAACGAGACCACACAGAAAATCGACAATACGGAGTCCGAAAACAACGAAATGCTCAGCTAAACCGGTAAGAGGGGCGGGGCCAGCAGCGGAGCGGGTTGGCCAAAAAGATCCCCGACCGGGTGGTGGGCAGGCAGCCGAGGGCGCGGATCCCAGGTGTGGGGTAGCTATGGGCGGACTCAGGGAAGAGGCGCGGCTGGCTGTCTGCGGTCGGTTGAGCATTTGTGTGCAGATAAACCAGTGAAGAGGCGAGCATTGAAACCGCATGGTGCAGGGCAGCTGGCTCGCACATTTCCGTTCAGATAAGCAGGCGGGGGTGAGTGGTGGGACGGACTGGGCGAGTGGAGAGGACCACCATTGCTCCCTCTCTGACCCTGCCCCCACATGTAGCGTCACAAACCAGCGACCTGGGTGGCCCTGCCCTGGTAAACAATTAAGGCTCCGCTCCTCATACCTAACAGGCACAAACAGATAAAAACATGGCTCAAGAGCAACTCAGAGCCCCAGAGCCAATAAATCTAAGCGATGAAGAAATAGCCAAACTTTCAGATGCACAGTTCAAAACACTGGTAATCAGGATCCTCACAGAACTGGTTGATTTTAGTCACAAATTAGAGGAATATATGGAGGCTAAACTAATTGAAATGAATGGTAATGCACAGGAAACCAATAGTAATGGAAAGGAAACTGGGACTCAAATCAAGGGAGTAGACCAGAAGGAAGGAAAAAATGACCAAACAGAAAAATATGAACAAACAAGAATTCAAAAAAATGAGGAGAGGCTTAGGAACCTCCAGGACATCTTTAAACGTTCCAACATCCGAATTACAGGGGTACCAGAGGGGAAGAGAAAGAGCTACAAGTGAAAAACTTATCTGAACAAATCATAAAGGAGAACTTTTCCAATCTGGCAAAGGAAATGGACTTCCAGGAAATCCAGGAAGCTCAGAGAGTCCTAAAGAAGTTGGACCCAAGAAGGAACACACCAAGGCACATCACCATTACATTAGCCAAGATGAAAATGAAGGAGAGAATACTAGAAGCAGCAAGAGCTAAGGGGACTGTCACCTACAAAGGACTTCCCATCAGACTGTCAGATGATTTCTCAAAAGAGACCTTACAGGCAAGGAGGGGCTGGAAAGAGGTATTCCAAGTCATGAAAACCAAAGACCTACAACCAAGATTGCTCTATCCAGCAAAGTTTTCATTTAGAATGGAAGGACACATAAAGTGCTTCTCAGATAAGACCAAATTCAAGGAGTTCATCATCTCCAAGCCCTTATATGAAATGTTAAAGGGACTTACCTAAGAAAAAGAAGATAAAAAAGATGAACAGTGAAAGGACAGCAAACTCATAGTTATCAACAACCACACCTAAAACAAAAGCAAATTAAGAGGACAGCTAGATCAGTAATGAACCATAGAAATGAAGATCACATGGAGGGTTAGCAACAGGGGAGTGGGAGAAGGAGAAGGGGGGAGAAGGTACAGAAAATAAGTAGCATAGACAGTAAATAGAAAATAGATAGGGGGAGGGTAAGAATAGTAGGGGAAATACAGAATCTAAAGAACTTGAGACACGTGTTCATGAACTAAAGGGGGGGATGGTGGGGGAGGGGTGTGCAGGGTGGAGGGGAATGGAGGGGGTGAAATAGAACAAATGTAATGGCATAATCAATAAAAAATATTGATCTTGAAAAAAATGCCATCATAAGTATGCCACTTATGGATTTAATAAGTGGTTGATTGAAGCATCTTAATTCAGTCTGTGAGCCTTTCTGTTCCATGACCTTTGGGATAGATTGCCTGGTGGTGTACTTGCAAGACACCATTATACCAATGTAATTTCCCACCTGACACTGTGGACCAGTGAAAGGATGGGAACCTCCACAAAGGGTACCAACAGGTGTCAGGTGGGGGAAGAATGGGGTCCTGGCTCTGGGAGCCTATTATAGGGCCAGGTCCTCTAACTAGGGATGAAGGAAAAGTCCCTTTGGTGTACTGGAGCCCAAAGAGGTCTGGTTATGTTCAGGGGCATGTACCGGGGTGGGGAACCCCCCCACTGGGGTACTCATCACAAAGAACAGATTGGAGAGGCTCCCTGAGGGGACTGCCCCAAATAAAAGGCCCCACACCTGTACCTGTGACCCAAATCATGTGCAGTGAAGTCTCCCAGACGCTCTGGCTGCGGCCACGGAAGGTACTCAGCTGCATCTCCATGGCCAGGGACTCTCCCAGCAGGAAAATGAGGAACCACAGATAGGAGGCAGAGTGTAGCAGGAACTTCAGCACTGGGATCTTTAGCAGGCGGCCCAGCTTGTGGGGAGGAGTGAGAACAGGGCTCTCAGAGTCCTATTCATGTCTCCCCCTGTCCTGGGAGAACTCGGGAACGCTCAGCCCACCGTGACCCCTCTTTTGCTCACTCCCTTATTCAGACCTCTATCAAGAATTTGCTATAAGTTACGCCTCACACTACCATATCTATTGTTTCCTTCACAACCAGTTGTGGTGGATATTATTATCCCCATTTTTTTTTCAGCTAAGGAACTGAGGATCCCAGAGGTGAACTAACTTCCCCGTGAAGGTCTGACAGGCTCTGCAATCTCAACCATGAAAAACCAAAATACATTCATCATCTTCTGTCTCAAACTCGTTCCTCCTCCTCCTCCTCCTGTGTACTCATTTTAGAAAATGCCCCAGCGGCCAGGCCAGGCACCTTAATGGAATCTCTACATCTTTTCTCTCTTTCACACTCCGACGTCTCCTTCGGTCCTGCCCCCTCCCCACTCCATCCTCTACCACTAGTGGGGAGAACTTTCTTCCTAAAACATGAAACTAATGGAACTGCTCACCTCATTAAAAGCCTGCAATGGGCCCTGACTAGGTAGCTCAGTTGGTTAGAGAGTCACCCCAATAATAAGCCAGGTGGCAGGTTTGCTCTCCGGTCAGGGCACATGCAAGAATCAACCAGCAAATGCATAAATAAGTGGAACAACAAATCGATGTTTCTCTCTCTCCCCTTTCCTCTCTCTATAAAATCAATGAAAAACAAACAAACAAAAAAAGGCTAAGTAGCTTCCATCATTGTTTATAAGGCTCTGTCTGACAGACCTGGCTACTTACACTTACTGGCTATTTGCATTTACACTTGAGCAGCACAGAATTCCTTTCAGTTTCTCTGCTACCTTCCGTCCTCCTCCCCTGGAGCCCCAGGCGTGCTGTCCCTGCTTCCCCAGCACTGCTCCCCCCAGTCCTCTGCAGGTCAACAGGGGCGGGGCCTCTCATCACAGCCGGGCAGCAGGCACCGTGCCTGGCTCACACTAGGCTCTATAGGAAACTCTTGTTGAACAAACACTTAAATTATCTGGGTCCACAAGAGCTCCCAGAGAATGAGTCAGCTGGGGTAGCAGCCTCTTTTAGGAGAATGTAGGGCTGTATACAGGGTTCAGGCTTTGGAGGCAGACAGACCTCAGCTTAAATCCTGACTCTGCTGTTACACTGTGTCCCCTCGACAAAAATCACTTCTGTTGCCCGTGCCTGTGTATTAGAGGTGTGATGCTTACCTGCCAGGGCCACCTCAAATTCCTTAATGGGGATATTCCCAAAGTGCCTTGCCCAGGGCCTGACATGAAACAGGTGCTCAAAAAGTGACAGGTATTATTAATTTTATTCTTAGTACCCGGGACTTGGGTGCCAGCCAGTAGCCGAGGCAGAGGAAGGGCATGGTGAGGAAGATGAGGAAGGCAACAAAGAGCTTCCAGATGGTGGTGCTTCCCCGCCAGCCAGCCAGGTTCCCACACCAGATGGAGGACAGCACTTGCTGACAGATGGGGTGTGCCACAAACTGGGAAGAGAAGGGGTGCATGCGGCCAACAGGCAGGGGGGAGGAGGCAGGGAGCCAACGGGGCGCATGGCCTTTACTTCCCTGCCCTGGAGACTGAACATTTCTTTCCTCCCAGGGCCAGCCATCTCAGAAGGGAGGCAACTCCTTTGCCATGTGACCTTGCACAGGCCCCACCCCTCCATGGGCCTTGGATTCCTGTCTGTGAAGGAGAGCCTGGGCTCTCAGGAACGCGATAGCCAAGTCCCAGAACCGTCAGGGTCCCCTGTCTTCCCAGAAGTGTGGGGCACCAGCCTTAGTGGTCTCGAGGAGAGGAGCAGGGGAGGTGGGGGTTGGTATCTCAGGGGGCCATTATGAAGGAGAGTTCTCGGTGAAGTTCCTGGTGGGCCAGGATATTGGAGGGCGTGTGAGAGGGAGGGAGGAGTACGGAGTCGGGGGAGGCTGGGAAGGGAGCCTGCCTTTAGCTTGGGGGGAGGGCCTCTGACGAGAGAGGGCGTCTAATTATGGAATCCGTTGATATCTATGTCCTGAGAGAACTAGTCTATTTTCTGAATAGAACAAGATACCAACAACAGAACAATACAGACCAAATTACTCAGCAGGCCAGAGGCCAAGCCAAGTGTAAGACGCAGACGTCTGGAGGGCAGGCGGGGTCCTGGTGGGCGACGGGACTTCCAAGGGCTGGAGAGAGGTTAGGGGCTTAGACTGAAGGTAGGAAGGGGGGTGAGAGACCCATAGGATCAGGGGTCTAGTGCTCAGAATCAAGTCTGAGAGGGTCCTGAGAGAAGGGGAAAGGTCTCCTTCAGGGTTGGAGAGGGGATACCTAGAGGTCGCAGGGCAAGGGATCAAGGCCAGGCAGGGTGTGGGGGCTGGTGGTCAGTAGGGCCCAGCTGACCCGCTTCTGGTTGTAGTTGACGGCCAGTCGCAGCCTCGCCAGGTTGGGGATGCCTTCCTCAAAGGCCTGGGCCAGGCCCTCGGCCTCGAGCTCAGCCTCGGTGTCTTCATCCAGGTCGTTGAGCACCACGGTGACCTCGCTCTGGTTCCGGCACATGCCCAGCAGTTCAAAGCCGTAGTCCTGGCTCAGTGACTCCAGGGCAATGTACTCGGGCTGTAGGGAAGCAGGTCCGTGTGTGCCTGATACCACGTGGACCCAGCCCCATCGTCAGCCCCCCACCCACCCAACAGTGAACCCCGGCCACCTCTGTCCCACCCTCGGGCCACCATTCCCCACATCCGGTGTCACCCTGGGTCATCCACTCCTTTCTGCTACTTCATCTCCCCTCCTTGCTGTGACGAGGTACCTCCTATGTCAGCGCATCTCGTGCTGCCTCTGTTTCATCGCTAAGTCATTCCAACCCAAATCCTCCTGCCACCTTTGCCCATCCCTGTACGTCCGCTTTTTAATTCCTATTTCCTGTCACACTTCTACTCCTATACTCAGGCCTTTCTCGTGTTCATTTACTTAACTTTCCTGAGCACCTACCTTGTGTGAGAGGCAGACATGAGTGAGGCAGATCTTGCCTCCGCTTGACCCACCCTGTCCTTGCTTTCACTTGGGGCCCTCACCCCACAGAGAATGCAGCCTAGGATCTCAGGAGGCCAGGCCTGAGTCCCAGCACTGTCCCTTGGGCAGGGTCACGTAGGGTAAGTTTCCTCCCCTTTCCAGGCCTCAGCTCCCTTGCCTGGAAGGGGGGATGATAATTCCTGTTGCTTCCTTCCACGGGCTGCTGTGAGACAGGAGGGAAGCCCTTGGGAGAGGAGTAGCAGAGGGCTGCCCTTTCCAGCTCCCTTATCACCCTCCTGCCCCTCCTCCCACTACCCCGGTGAAGCAGCAGCCAGCGCTCCTGGCACAGGTCACATCCTGCCTTAGGCCTCATTTTAATATCCTTGTCTGTTTCCCCTGCTTGACCATGGGGACCAATTCTCCCTGGCACAGAGGGGATGTAGGTGGACGAATGATGGATGCAACTGGACGGGCAGTGCTCAAGGCCCCTGACCAACCATAGGCCCCCTGCTATAGGCCCCCCTCAAGCACCGTCCTGCTCAGGCCCTGCACACACGACTGTGTCCACTTCTGCTACCCGAGAGCCTTACTGAGCCTGCGCCTCTACTCTTCACTTGTATTAAACTGCCCACTTGCATAGCCAGGATCAATTCTGCTTCTTCCAAGGAGTCTGCCACGAACACAAGAGCTATAGCTTCCTGACCTCTCTTTTCTGGGCATTGACGTTCTTGAGGAACCATCCGCTCGGGCACTGAATGAAGCTGAGCATCCCAGGAGCGCCTGGTCTGCCTCCCTCTGCCCTCTCCCTGCTTGTGATCGCAAATTTGAGGCCCCAACACACCACGCTCTGGGTGGGACACACGGGAGCTATTCAGAGATGACAGGTTTTACTGAACATTTGTCTGTCCACTCACTTTGGTTTGTCTGTGTTCTCTCTCCTCCCTCAGACAGACCAGGGCACCCATGGGTGGGGGTCGTGCTACCCCCATAAGGTAAGGTGTGCCTAAAGTGATGGCTCTCTGCCATTAGAATGAATCCCCTTCGAGGTGGGATTCTGCGTCTGCCCATCTAAATGGAAGTTTCCCGATAACAGCAAGGCCTCGTCGTTTTTCAGTTGTTTCCCACTTCCCAGAATACCCACCACGGGCCCAATCACACCCAGGCACCCAGGGGCAAGTATAAGAAGTCAACCTTAAACTCGGGTTCCTTGCGTGCCAGGCGCCTGAGCTCCTGGCTGAGCTGGAAGGCAGCCAGCATGGCGTCCTCGCTGGCCAGTGAGAGGTGGGCCCTGCTGGCAATGCCGCGGTAGGTGTTGATGCGGGACAGGGAGAACTTCAGCAGGTCATAGCGGCGGGCATTGCTGCACTCGAGGCAGGCACAGGACACGGGGTGGGGCCGGGCGATGGTGTGGCCCTGGTCCATGAGCAGCTGTGCTACCTCGTACAGGTCCTTCTGGCAGGCCAGGGTGAGTGGAGTAACACCAGGTGCAAAGCGGGAGCCATCGATTGATGAGTCAAAGAAAGCCAGGGAGAAAGACCTGGTGTCCACTTTGCGGCCCTTCTCCCGCTCCAGCCGGGCCAGCAGACGACGCACTACCGCTGGCTGGTTTGTGTCCACGGCCACTAGCAGTGCCTCATGGACCTGCCGGAAGTCGAACTTGATATTGGCCAACAGCACGTCAGCGATGGCCTCGTGGCCCAGGCGGATGGCCAGGTTGAGAGCTTCCCTCCAGGAGCGGTCCTCAGCCTCCTCCACATTCCGCAGGGGTCCACCCGGCCCGCCGCCTGGGGCCTCCACCCCCGATTCCAGTAGCTGCTGCACGAGGCCCAGCTGCCCGTCCTGGATGGCGCCCAGGAGTGGGGGCGGGAACTTCAGTCTTTTGTTCACCATCTCCGTCCAGTTGGGTTGTGGCTGGGCGAAGGAGTAGAGGGTGGGGCTCCAGGTTTCCAACCCCCTTTGTTTTGGGGCCCCCCCTCACCCTCCCACCTTCAAGCCTATACCCTGCTACACCCAGCCACCATTATAGTCTTCCCTGTCCCAAACACCTGCTAACAGAAATTGTCTTAGTCACCATTTTATCATGTGGGTGCTCAGGTTGGGAAAGTGCCAGGACCGGGTCTGACTGGGGGCCGCTTCCTCAGCATGACTGCCACCCTCACAGGAACCCACAAACCGTGGGGCCAAATGTGGGTACAGTGAGAAAGGCGAGGTCGAAGCGGCTGGACAGGGCTGCACCGGGAGCCGGACCCCACACACGGAGCACAGCACCTGAGCAGAACCCAGCTCCCATCTTGCTGACTTCATCTCCCAGCTGCTCATCCCTCTGGAAGTCCCAGAACCTCTGAAGGACAGGTCCAGACACCCACATAGGAGGGTCTTTGGACGGGGCCTTCCCCAAGCTCCTCAGCTCTGTCTGGGCATCACTGTAGGACCCGGACACACCCGGCCTCCTCCAATCTTTCCCCTGCCCCACCCTGGCTTTGGCCCCTCTAGCGTGGGGCGGTGTCTCCCCCCGACCCCCCACCAGTGCTGCCTGTCCCTCTTTTCTACCAGGCCCAGCTCATCCCCACTGCTCTTCTCTTTTGGGCCCCACTGCTCTTCTCTTTCTCTTCTCAAGGGCTCCTCTCCCTCCCACATGGTGATGTCCACCACCTGCACCACAGCTAAGAGGGGTCCACCTGCCACCCCCCTTGGTCCATCTGTTTTCATCATGGCCAAAAGTGGGGCCAGGATGGGGAAGGTAGGGGAGCAGAGGTCCTTACCGTGAGAGGGTCCATGGCTGCACCTGCCTATGCTAGCAGGGGCTGAAGGACAGAACTCCTGTTCTGTCTGCTCCCCTGACTGTGTCCAGCTGCCTCCTTCCTATTCATTTAAAACTCCACCCAGCCCTGCCCCCTCGCCAGGACCAGCTGCTCCCTCTCAGCCCTGTGCCCTGGAGACCAGGGGAAATGATGTTAGTGCTACACAACAAAACTTTCTGGGAAGGGGCAGACAGGACACAGTTGCTCAAAAAGGTGGCAAGAGCACGTAGAAAGCCGTAGTTGCAGCAGGCCTCAGAGACCGACCCTCTGGTCGAACTGCCTCGCTGTACAGGTGGGGATGTGGATTTGCCCAAGGTTCCCAGCCAAGCCTAGAACTATTCCTCAGCCATTAACCCATCTGATCCCTGTGGCAGCTCTGTGAGCAGGACAGGGGGGTTTACCTGTTACTGAGGGTTAACTCTGGGCCCAAAATAAATAACTTGCTTCAAGTCACAAAGCAACATGGTTATTTAATTATATCTAGAAAGAGAATCCACAAAACATACAGAGAGTTAAGTTCATAGGATGCTGGAGGTCAGTCTCGTGCTCAAAAATCACCTTCCTAGTCGTCCAGGATCTCATTTATCAGGCAGCGAGTCTTTTCACAGGGCCTCAGTTTCCCATTCAGGAGAATGGGCACAAGGATGCACACCATTCGCTAGGGGAGGACATCTGGACTGTGTTCCAGAGCCCGAGAGGGATCACCAGTTCTACACCAGAAGTTCCAAAGGGGAAAGGATGAAGCTGTCCTTGGGGAAGTAAGGCGCCATGGTGACAGAAGCCTTGACAACTGGGAGTGGGGAGCAGGCCGGGCCCAGAGGTGCCGTCAGGCAGAGTCCTGAGGGAGTGAGTGGAGGGAGGCAGAGAAGGCGCTCGGCTGCATCAGCCCCTCTTTACTGACAAGAGATCCACTCCCCAGTTTTAGTCATAGACACCAAGGGGCTCAAACCACAGGTCCTCGAGGCTCATGGCTCAGGGACCTCCCCACACATGCTGGCATGTTCTTCTACTTCTCCTGCTGAGAAATGCAACTGGCAGATAGGGCACTGGACCCAGGACACAGGTGACGAGCTCTCTGAGGACACCCACAGTACAGACGGTGAAGCGGGTGCTGATGGGGAGGGAGAGGCTGGCTGAGGTGGGGAGGTCTCTCCACAAGTGGCAGCGTGCTGGGGAAGAGTCCCAATGCTGAAGGAGCCTAAGGGGGAGAGAAAGAGGTAAGCAAAATTGGGCCTACTCCCAGGCAGGTTGCCACTCCAAGCAGCCTGTCAAAATGCGGCTGTTTTTGTTGACATTAAAGACTTTCCATAGAGACACTATTCAGTCATGAATCCTCGAAATACTCCTCAAGTGTTTACTATGTGCCTGACTCTGTGCTGGGAGCTGAGGCACTTAAAGCCAGGCCTGTCCTTAGGGGACCGCAGAGTCAGGGGTAAAGATAAGCTACGGCCACAAGTAACAGTGACACAGAGCAGAAGGTGAGAAGTGCTAAGCCCAAGAGAATCTGAGAACGGTCCAGGAGCTCAGTTGGGAGAAATTACCTGAGAAGATTAGAGACTTGGTAAACAAGTAACATTTGAACAGAGAATCAGAGAGTAAGTTGATTTTGGACACAGAGGAAAAAACTTATGAAGGAAATTCTAGGCCCTCTTTGATAGTGTTTTTGTCTTTTTTCCAGTACTTTATTTTTAAAGGTCTCTTTAAGTATTCTATTGCCTCCTAGTGAGCAATCCTGCATAAACAATTGGAGTGAGAGAAAAATCTGATAGTGTTTTATACTGTTTTGTTTCGTGTTTCCCTTGAGGACGTGGCCCCTGTCCCTTCCTCAGCTTGGCCAACACAACATGAGCAGGCACTCAATATAGACTTGCCTGTAACTGCACAGCAGACAGAGGGTAGGAGTCCAAGTTCAAATATTTCCTGGCAGCATTCCCGGGTCTCCTATTCCACAGCCCTGCAACAAGTCCCTGCACCCAAGCAGCTTACCTGCACAAATGGGACACTCTCCATTATCCTGGACTCTGCTGGTCGGGGCCTGGGGTCGGTGGTGTTCTCTCTGCCCCACATTTGCTCTCCCCCTCCTGTTTGGTTGAGAGCTCGAGTAGGCTAAAGGCCTGTGAGAAAGGACAGTTAAAGACCAGCTATTAGCAAGAAGCCATAAGGGCCGAAGGAACCTTAAATTAGGGTGAAAAAAGTGGTTAGTTGATATGGAGCCAGAAGCCCCGAGTTGGGAGTCCTGGTCTTCTCACTTGATGTATCTGACTTTAGGGAGATCATTTAACCTTTGAACACCTGAAAACATAGCTTCTATTACCGTCTTTAAGTTTATTGTTATTTTTTACTGAGATACAATGCACATTCCATAAAATTCATCCTTTTAAAGTACACTGCTCAGTGGTCTTAAGGATATTCACAAGGTTGTTTAATGACCTAATTTCACATTTTTATCACCCCCAAAAGAAACTCTGAAGCCATCAGTAGTCACTCCCCACTCTTTTACCCCCACAGGCCCTGCGTACACTCAGGACATCTTTTTTGGAGAAAAATCTATTGAGATCCTTTGTCCATTTAAAAAACTAGGTTCTTTTATTGTTGAGTTGTAAGGGTTCCTAGATATTCTAGATACAAGTCCCTTATTGAATGTATGATATGGAAATTATTTTCTCACATGTTCCGTGGGTTATCTTTTTCTTTTACAGTGTCCAATGAAGCAGAAAAAGATTTAAATTGTAAAGAAGTCCAAGAAGTACAGTGTACTCAGCTTCAAATTCTGGTTCACTACAGAGCTACCTCCTTGCCCGGCCCCACGCCTGACACCATGTGGACAAAGACATTTTTTTCTCTTCTATCCTCCAGGTCCAGACTGCAAGATCAAACCCCCAATGTAAGGGCGCCCCCTGGCGGAACTGCAACAGGAGTGAGGAAGAAGACGGTCAAGAGGGCAGGAAGGTTTAGGAGGTGACTTGCATCTTTCAGGTGAACCTACTTACCTGCGGGCTTGCACTTTCTGTCTCTTCATCTTGCCCGCCTCATTTTCTGAGTTCTGCTCCTCTGGTCTGGGCTCTGTGTGAGAAATGCTCATTCAGTCTAGCTCACTGACCAAAAGGCCTTCACATGTGATGTTCCTTCTTTTAAGAATATTCTTTCTAGCCCTGGCTGGTGTAGCTCAGTGGATTGAGCTCGGGCTGTGAACCAAAGGGTTGCGGTTTGATCCCCAGTCAGGGCACATGCCTGGGTTGTGGGCCAGGTCCCCAGTGGGGGCCACATGAGAGGCAACCATACACTGATGTTTCTCTCCCTCTCTTTCTCCCTCCCTTCCTTCTCTCTAAAAATAAAATAAATAAAATCTTTAAAAAAAAAAAGAATATTCTCTCTATCCTCTTTCCCTGGTTAATTCTCAGTCTGTAAGTCTTAGAGAAAATGCTAATTCCTGTGAGAAAGTTTTCCTGGGTTCTCTAACCCAAATCTGGTCACCCTATCCTGCTTTGCCTTTGAAGCACTTTCTAGTTTTAGGTTTTAGATTCTTGTGTGACACTGACATGCGCCTCTCCACCAGGGTTGGATACTGTGTTTTATTTACTGTGGTATCCCTGGCACCTGGCACAGAGCCTTGCACAGAGATGGGCAAGTGAGTAATAAAAAAACTCAGCAACATCCACCTATTTATCCAAAACTTATGAAATACTTTGTATAGCATTTAATATGTTTCAAAGTGCTGTCACAGCTCCAGTGCTCTGCCTAAGAAAGTTTCGTTTCCTTCCCATTCTCCATCTCTTGAAATAAACTACATCCTTCCCTTATGTGGTAGGCAGATTCTGAAATGACTCCCATGGATTCCTGCCTCCTATAGTGTGTGGACAGGACCCAGTAACTTATTTCTAATGAACAGAATTTGGCCAAACTGATGAGAGGTCACTTCTGTGATCAGGTTACGAGGTGGGCTTCTTTCTTGCTAGCACTCTCTCTTGCCCTCCAGCTTGTTCACTCTGGCAAGGGAAGCTGCCACACTGAGATGCCCTGTGGACAGGCTCTCTCGGTGCAGGAGATGAGGGAAGCCTTAGTCCAACAGCCCAGGTGGAGCTGAATCCTACCCACAAGCACGTGGGTGAGCGAGGGAGCAGGTCCTTCCAGGGGAAGCGATACCACAGCCTCGTGACACATTCAGAGCCGGAAGACCCAGTGAAGCCACATCTAGATTCCTAACCTTGAGACAGTGTGAGATAATACATATTGTTTTGCACCACTAAAATTTTCAAGTGATTTGTTATGCAACAAAAGGTAACCAATGAAACAATATACTTGTTTCTGCAATGGAATGATGTATTATTTCACGGATCTGTTCAGTTCTTGAAATGATAAACCTTTTCCTTTCAGTGAAGCCATGAGTGAAACCAAGGTTTTTCAGTGAGAACTCTCCTTCTCTTCTCGCTCTTACTATCTATGGTCCAACAGTAAGAAGAACAAGGGCTCTGCAACCCCGAGCTGTGTGACTCAGAGTACTCTACCTCCCTGAATCTCGGCTTCTTTCTAAAATGAGTACAACACTGTCTACTTCTGTGAATATCAATAGATAAAGTTAGTAAAAGTGCCTACCAATGTCTGGTGCAAGATAGGAGCTTCAAAATGTTTAATCTTTTCTTCCTCTGTGATATAAGCACAGTATTCCCCCTACTTTATTTCTCCAATAAGCTCCATACACTAGCACCCTGACTTAAATGTCTGTCTGAGGTGATCACAGAGCATTAACAGTGTAAAAGGCATACATACTAATTGGTTTAATTCCTTTACTTTTAAGATGAGGGAATCGAGGCCCAAAGAAATACGGATTCCTGATTCCTCGGCCAGTGCTCTTTCAGTCACTACACCATATTTAATTTCTCTTCTGGTAACAAGACACAACAATTCTTTCCTGCCACATGAAATCCCATTTGTGAGCTATCCCTGTAGCGCAGTGGTGGACACAAGGCGGGGGTGCTATGGAGAGCAAGGAGCCAAAGGTAGGTCATGGGGCCTCACCTGCACTGTCTGGTCGACTGGGACCTGGTTCTGCAGGGCCGTGTTTTGGGCTTGCCCCACTGGCTGGAGGTGCCCTGTGGGCAGCTGAAAGTACCATGCGAGCTGAGCGCCCCAAAGTCCCTGGCTGCAGCTGCTGTAGGATACTCCGAAGCTCTGAAATTTCCTTGGTGCTCCTACAGGGAAACAGAGAGAATGCTTGGTTTCATTCCAAACAAGAGACTCCATTTTGCTCACCCAAGTTAGTGGCATTTAACCAAGAAAGCCAGTTTGATAAACAGATATAGGCTGAGAGTATGTGATTAATTGGGGAAACCCAGGTAGGGTTTGCACGCCTATGAGTGACTTGGTTTACTTTTCCAGGAGGAAGAATTGTTAAGTGGCTGGAAGACCTCCACTCTGGCAGCTACGTACGTTTGGGGCTCTGGGAAGAAAGTCCTCCGGATGGAAGGATTAGCCATCCAGGGGCTGGGATCAGACTCTGAAGCACTGGAACCCTGAAAAAAAAAAATGGAGAAATATGAAGCACAGACATTCACCACCAGGGGACGCTGCCACCTAGTGCCACGTATAGTCTCAAACCTAAGGACTTCAGCTTAGTGAGTGAAGGCATCTGCAAAATCTTGTACAGGGCAACTTTGCTTGTGTGTGCACACTCTGTTCCAGCTCTAAGATGTGAATTTTGGTGATTCTGTATGCTTTGTTCCCCAGTGGTAAGGGTTTTGTCATAATCCTGAAACACCTGGGAAAAAAGAATACATGCTATTGGGAAAGAGTCTATGAGACTGATATCATGTGCAAACTTTTCAAAGTGTGTGTGCGTGCATATATATATATAAATATTAATCATGTCTATTTAATATTTATACATTAAATTAAATATAAATTATAATAATATATAGTGTATAATACATATTAAATTTATACATATATAAAATTGATTTAGGTAGGTACAAAATTCAAATCACTCATCTCTATATACCTATGTGAAAGAAACAAATTATACACATATATTTCTTTATATTTAAAAGTAGTTCTATTTTGAACTATTTGGGGACATTTTTATCACTTTTCTCTTCTAAATATTGCTTAATTTCCATTATAATTTATTTTGTGAACTATTTTATTTACCTGCAACTAAACACCTACCAATTAGCCATCTATAGAGATGCGCGTACAAGCATGTGTATTAGATGACACATGCCTCTTTCTAGCATCGGCCACTGTGTCTACCACAGGCGTGTATAAACCTCTCTAGTTCAAATTCCAGAAATGTCTGTGTATAAAAACCACACAGTAGATCATTTCTACATAGATTTTACTTATGTGGAATGCTACAATTTCTTAATTCTTTGCCAAAATTCAATTTATCTGTGTCAACTCATCTGTGGTTATTTCTTTATTTTTCTAAATTTCCTTATATTAAAAAAATAATTTTTTCTTTAATTTTCAGCTCTGATTCTCTCATCACAGATTCCTTTAAAGGTAAATGTCTTTCCTACAAAGTATCACTTTAGCCTTGTTCTGCAAGTTTGAGAAATAATATTTTTATTCACATTCACTGTTTAATATTTTCTAAGTGCCATTACAATCTCACCATGGACCCAGCATTAATTTTGAAGTATTTGGTTAACCAGCTTTTATTTTTTCTTTACTCTGTCTCATAAATTTTAGAGTGAACACTACTATGAAGGGTAATTAGCTGTCTCTGTAGAGATTACTCTAAATACGATGAATCGTTAGAAGATGAACTGCCCTGCACAGGCGAAGCAGAGCCAGGTGGCCAAGGCTTATTCAGCAGTGTGACCTGGGGCATCCCACTGAACTTCTCTGGCTTGTTTCCTCACTGGAAAATTGGTGATCACAAAAGATCCTGTTTCACAAGATTAAAAGCCCTCATGTTTCGCTTTCACTATAACTTACCATTAGAATGAGACTTTTTTTTAAAAAGCCTATGGCATTTTAGACACCTTAAATTATAAAACTAAGTGCCATCAATTCGTTTCCATGTATCAATCCTCTCTTACAGAAATGTTTCAGGATCTCCTTTCCATGTGGTTTCACTGAGATACCTGCAGTATGTTTCATTCTGCTGTTGATGTTCAATGTCCTTCTAGCACTATGGCCCTGGAGTTCCTGACTCGCTTCTTCCTTGATCCCACCAAGATCTTAAAGGTACAGAGTAATTTAGATGGTCAAAATGGAAAAGACTCTACAAAGTCCTTATTTATCCTATGATTAGGGTGATGGTATGTCCTGGTTTGCCTGGGACGGTCATGCTTATTATGTCTGTTGTCTCAGTATAATAATAATAATAGTAATAATAATAGTAATTATTATTATTAAAATTTTTATGTGTTTATTTTTTAGAGAGAGGGGATGGGAGGAAGAGAAATGTCCACATGCGAGAGAAGCATCGATTGACTGCTTCTTGCACACCCCCAACCCAGGCCCTGGCCTGCACCCAGGCACGTGCCCCAAACAGGAATCAAACCAGCGACTTTTCAGTTTGCAGAACAATGCCCAACCCACTGAGTTATACCAGTCAGGGCCCAATATAGTTATTAATAGCATTCTTTTTTGCTCTCAAAGTGTCTCAGTTTGGATGATAAATTTTATAGTGGCCTTATCTACAATTCTTCTCCAAAGGTCATTTATATAATGAACACGTTTACTCAAAGCCTACTTTGTTCCAGCTGCCAGGAATGTATCACAGAAGAAGACAAACAGGTTCCTAATCTCACAGAGCTTCCATCTATTGTACAGTCAGGGCTACAGAGCTCTAGCTCCATTCATGCCAGCTCCCAGCCCTGTGATACTGGGACCTGGTGGAGACACTGGGCTGCTTCCACTGGTGCTTTTGCATTACTTAGCTCTTGCCTCAGTGGAAGGGTAAATCTCAGACCAAGCTTCACTTATCTCAGCTCTCTGGGCCTCTCCCGAGGCTGTACTACAGGCATCCACTCCTCCTTTGTCTGCTCTAACTCCACTTTTTCTTCCCAATGTTGTCTCTTCTTTTTCTCAGTAGCCTCAAGAGGAATGAAGCTCACTCCTGGGAACTGAAATTCTTTTGGTTATGCTGATGTTTGAAACTTCTAAAAATGTACAGTGTGTATAGAAGTACTGTGGAGTAATGACAGGAGACCTGATTTCTGATCTCTACTTTGATCTGACTTGCTGTGTGAATTTGAATACGTAAGTTCCCCCAAATGGCATGTAGAATGAGGTGGTTGGGGCTGGATGCTCTCCAAGTGTTTTTCCATCTCTGAAACTCTATGACTCAAGCTTTGTGTGATTATACGAGGTCTGTCCAGAAAAAGTCCAGCCATTATTAATATAATGAAAAGGGTTTGAGCAACATCTGTGTAACCTGGGAGCTAAGGAAAGTGGACTGGAATGTGCATGTGTGAACAATAACTTCATTGTACTATTTAGTGGGGGCAGTAGACACCATTGAGTGAGCATGTGTACTGTGTGGCTGTTGCATTCCAAAAGACTGAGTGAATAGAGCAACGAGTCTGCATCAAATTTTGCTTTAAGCTTGAACATTCCTCCATGGAAACTATTTGGATGATTCAGAAGCTGCAGCTATGGCAACTGGTGATTGGCAGCTTCATCACAACAACGCATCTGCTCATGCGTAACATCTTGTGCAGAAATTTTGGTGAAACATCAAATCACCCAGGTGACTCAGCCCCACTACAGCCCAGATTTGGCGCCCTATGACTTCTGGCTTTTCCCAAAACTAAAATATCACCTTTGAAAAGGAAGAGATTTCACACCATTGATGAGATTCAGAAAAATACAATGGGACAGCTGATGGTGATTGGGAGGACCGACTGAGGTCCCAAGGTGCCTACTTGAAAGGGACTGAGGCATCACTGCCCTGTGTATAATGTTTCATGCATCTTCTATCTTCCTCAGTAAATGTCTATTTTTCATATTACATGGCTGGATACCTTCTGGACAAACCTTGTATCTTTATATTTGTGAGTGAATCATGGTGGAGGGTACTGGCTTGGAAAGATAAATAGAAACATCAGTATAAAGAAAGCAGGAGTCAGAATAGGCTTAGGAAGAAAAAAAGAAAAACTAGGAAACTGGCTGAGAAAAGAGGAGGTAAACTGACTACATAGATACTTAATACATGGCCAGACACGTATACATCTCCTTTGAGGAGTACCTGGTGCACTGTGCGAGGAGAGAAAGCAGGAGAACATATGAAATTGCAGAGCACATATCTAAGAATACAACTGGCTTGGCTAGGTAGTGAGTCAGGGAACAGTGACGGAGGGACTGTGAGGGAGTCCTGGGAGTTCCAGGTGCTAGAAGGAAAAGTCTGATGAAAGCTGGAGTCCCCAATAACCTAGAAATAAAGTATGAGATTAAATTTGAACCCCCAAAGAAGTTCACTATGACTAAAGGACAAACGGCCAACAGCTCTGTGTGCACTACGCTGATGGAGGTTCGCTCACTTGGATCTTTCACGTGTTAAAGGGAGAGTTCATTGTTACCTGTAAGTAAGGGTAATGCACCCATTTATGTTTGTATTTGAATGTATGTGTGCTGATTTGTATCTGTAACTCAATCAAGCACCACCATCCTAACCAGAAGCTGACAAGGGTGGGAACATATTAAGTCCCTGCTCCACCATCGTGCATACCTGGCTTGGCACAGAGCTCACAGGGGCTGACGGATCCACCGCAGGGTCATCTGAGGAGTCCAGAGAGGAGCACACACGCAGGAAGGCCAGGCCAAAGGACTCATGACGTGTGAAAGGCTGGGAACAAATCAGGCGAAGTCTATCCCAGGACTCACCTGAGGCGGGAGCCAGGAAATCATCTCAAGGGAAAGCAAATGAGAAGGAGAGGAAACGTATGAACGGGAGGGAGAAAGGACGACAAGGTCAATAATGAGCAGGGGCAAGAAAAGGCAGTGACTATACAGAGTAAACTGCAATGAAAGGAATAATGGGGGTCATCAGTACCCCTCTGGCCTTGCTGCTCGGGGTTTGGCAGTGCCAAGCAGGCCAGTCAGGGCCCTTTCACACATCATCACCTCTCCCAGTGTGAGCACATCCTCATTCTACACTTCTTCTGTGGCCTTACCAATGTCTCATTTTAGCAGGAGGCCTCTGCAGTGCTGGGGTCTGGGGTAACCGCTTGCCCAGTGGATTAGCTGAGCTGCATCCACCTTTCCTGGACCATGAGCCCTTGGCCTCTCTCACAGCACTACATGCCCTATCCACTCACTCACAGCATCACACACCAGTACCACAAACCCTTCTCTCCTTCAACCCCAGCACTGTCCAGTAGGACCTCAGCTCCTCCACTTCATATGCCCCTCTCTCATCACTCTTCCCTGACATTACAAACACCTCCAATTTAAACGCAGACAAATCCTAAATCCCCAGAGGCCAGGAATCAGGTCTTATGTTTCTGCTGCAGTGCCTAATGAACACAGAGCTTTGCATAGAACAGAGCTCAGGAAACACTATATGCTATGTAACTATAACCATCATATAGTCTTCCATCACTTATATACACATTCATCTCACACTGACAATTACATATATTCACACATATATTTATACAGACAAAAAACACTAGTCACGAATGCGGGTTCTCCATCAGGCTTCATGGAATCACGTTGAGGGTTAATATAAATCAGCTCATAAATATCCCTAGGTACCATGCATTCTCAGCACGGAGAACTCACTCACAAACATACCACGTAGCTGTCCGCTCACTAGCTACCAAGCTCCCCAAGAGATACCGCCAGCCCCTGCAGTCTCCCTCCCACAGCACACAACTGCCAGCTCTTACGGCCCTTATCGTACCGCAGCTCTTTTCCTCACAATCTCCCTCCCTCCCGCCCTCCTTCAATTTCTCTCCCAATTCTGCTTTTGCCCTCCTTACCATCTTTAAACATGCGGACCCCTGAGCGGTTTTTCCCCTGCTTTGAATCGGCTAGAGACATTAGCATGGTTGCAGGGAGCAGGGTGACAAAAGGTCTATCCAGGGGCCAGGAAGAACGGCCCACATCGATCTGCAGGAAAGCACAGCCACAGTTACCTGGGGACGAGAGGTTGAGAGAAGGAAAGGGGTTATGGGATGACAGGGGCTCCTCTGACTGTACACGAGGGAATCGGGGAATAGAGCTACTTGGAAGCTCAGAAAGGTCAAGCGACACAATGAGCCAGTACGTATGCAAAACAAGCCCTCAGCCCACTAAGTGATAACGCAAAGGTTCGCCGTGTTCCTCTCAGCCAGAAGCCTTCCCCTGACTAGAGACCCGCTGCTTCCCTGTCCTCTGGCTCCCGCAGGCCGTGTGAAATTCCCTCTCTTAAATCCTTGCTAGGGAGGGTGTCCTGACACCTCTCTGCCCTGTCAGAGCTGAGACCAATGGTCTTTGTCAGCTCTATACTCCCGAGAATTCTAAAGCCAACCTTTTCAACCCATGAACATCCATGGAGCCTTCCCAGATTGCCCTGCAGAGGTCACCCCCAGCATCCTCTTGACGCTGAGAAGTGTCTATTGATTGTTTGTTGGCATTTATAATTATGTCAGTGTCCTAAGGCTTCACCCAGACCACTCGGATCAAAGGAGGGGGGTACACTGCACAATTCAAGGAGTGCCATTCTCATTCCATTCTATGTGAATGGAACCCTTACAGTTTGCCAACACCACCCACCTGCTCCGAGGGCAAGGGCCACATCTCCCCTCCACACCAGTTATGGCTCATTCCATGAAGGCTGCTCAGCCAGACGGAACTGAGACACTATGGTGGAGCTTTGGAAGGGAACGCTATTCCAGAGTTCTCCCGAGGCCCCAGAGATCTCACTCACCTACATCGATGTAGCCAATGGGCACTGCCCTCTCCAGCTGCAGCTCCACTTTGAGTTGCCCACTCTTGTCTTGAGGGCAGCTGAGCCAAGGTCCCCTCTGGCTGTCTGGGTTCAGCAAGTTCTCCACAGGATACTTGGGATCCTACGTCAGAGGAGAAAACCAGGCACCTTAATCAGGCACCAAGGGAACAAAGGAAGCCCACGAATGCGGGCTCCCTAGACTCTCAAACCCTTCCAGGCATCTCGACGCGATAGGACGGCACTCGATGGAAGTCCACAGGCACGCAGCTGTCACACACCCAGGGACTTACAGACACCGTTTACCTCTCCCTCGTTTACCACGGTACCTCATTTAATCCTCAAAGCAATTTTAGGTGGTTACTATTATTCCTCACAGTTAACAGACCAATAAACTGAAGCTTGTGTTCAGGAGTTTATCCAAGGCCACGAGGCCAAATAACTAACTGGAGTCAGAACTCCCAGGTTTCTGAATCCAGACTTCTTAAGCACCACACTATGCTATTTACCATTTATAAGGTGATTGCAGACATTTGTCTTCAAAGTAACCCTGTGAGATAAAAAGGGCACAGATTTTTATTCTAAGTTTACAAGTGATAGGTAGAAATAATGTGATTTATTCAAAGACTACAATAGTGATACTGAGATAGAAATTTTCAGTTCTAATCCGAAGTCAAGATATTTTTGGTGAAAAGGCCTTGAGCAAACTATGTTCTCTCTCTGGATATAAATTTCTTTATCCATAAGTAGGGGGGGGGACTAGACTCATGACTTTCAGTCTTGTTTCTTGTTTTAGTAGTAAAATGTTTTAAACTTTAGTCTTAAACTAAAGTGTGTGTGTGTGTGTGTGTGTGTTTACAACAAATAAAAGCACAGCCCTTTCTAAAGCAGAGTTTGGGGGTGCCTAGAGACATACATTCTCTTCTCCCTTCAACTTTCTAAAGTGGGTCCCCACAGAGTAGTTTGTAAACCACAATATTAGAAGACAGCTAATGTTCTCTAGCATTTTATAAGGTCGAGACTGTGAAGAAAATCATTTAGGCTGACCATGTAGGTACGGAGGATAAAGGTAACTTTTCTTCTATTTAACTTAGAAAAGGACTTGATACAGTAGTTCCTAAAGATGCTCTAAAGGTCTTTCTGAAATGTGCAGACATGTTTTTAACTATCATAATGACTAGGAAGCATTATGTCATTAGGGTGTAGAGGCCATGGACGTTAAATATGCCACCATGCAAATGCTACTGCTATAAAATGCAGACTTATCTGACCCAAAAGGCCAAGAGCACTCCTTGAGAAAGACTAGGATAACAGAGGGGAAGAGCAGGGAGAGTGGGTACGTGGAAAGGAAAATGACCGCAGCCCTTAATCACCACAGCGGGTCAGTGCTGGGTGCTGGTATCCCACTCTAATTTCGACGATTGGGGTTTTCCTGAAAGTGGACTTTTAGGGAGGAGGCTGAGCTCACCTTTGCTATGGTGGGGATATCCTCACAGGTCAGGGATGACCTTGAGTGTCCTGGTCTCCCTTCAATTACAGAGTGACTAACCTTCTCTTCCGGGAACCCGGTACAGACTTTGGTCCTATAGCTTTGTCGGTTTCCTCCAAACTAAGGGTGGGATCTGAGGCTGTGTCCTCGTTTACCTTTCGTTCCTGGGAATACTTCTCTCGCGTGTCCTGCCTTGCTTTGGGAACAACTGAGGGCAAGAGCTGGGTTTCACCCTTCAACTCTGGACTCCTGGAGAAGGGACAATGTCTCTCCTATTAGAATTGGCAATTTCCTGAAAGCGTAGCCAAGTCTCCTATTTCTTTTTCATTCCTTTCGAACATGCCTGCTAATTAGTATACCTGAGAGGAAAATGACACCACGTGGCTAATCTTCACAGGAGCCATAGTGGGCCCAGCAGCTGTCCCAAGTCCAAGGCGAGAATGTTTTCTCCTATTTCTTCTGTCAGCACTTCGGCACTGCCTACGTTTTGGTACCGTCAGCTTCCAGAAGAGACAAAATCCTATTACCCCGGAAGAAGAGAACAAAAGAAAAAGAAACTAGCCATGGCTGTTTCCCTGGCAACAGCAGTTGTTTGCAGCAGTCAGACTGCTACTGACTACCGTGACATGCTTGGTGGGCATGGGGGCAGACACCAGATCTACACCAACTGATGAGCCAGATCTGAAACAGCTGGAATGCAACCACAGGGCAACAGAACAGCAAGAGCAAAAAGATACACTGATCTGTTAACGTCCGGTTTATATGTAGTGAGGACAGATTGGGCCTGAAATCATTCATCTTTACGTCCTTAGAGCTGAGACTGGCACGTAGTCAAGATGTGAAACAAACGTTCGAGTAAATACATGATACAAGCCTCTTTTTTTTCTTCCCATAAAAGGAAGCTTCCTAATTTTGCTGACGTATGCAAATCTCTTGCTACATGGTAGGTACTTAATATTAATTCAGCTCGGCCCCTCAGACGTGTGCAGTGTAGATCTCTCCATCTGCTTCATCTCCTATCCTACCACCGTGTTTCACTTGACTATCAGTGTTTTATTTATTTAATCTTAAAAGTTCATATGGGTATGTGTACTTTTGTCTTTTGCTAAACATTTTTTAAAAGATTTTATTTACTTTTAGAGAGGAGAAAGAGTGGGAGGGAAACATCAATACAAGAGAGAAACATTGATTGGTTGCCTCTCGTAGGCACCCCAGCCAGGGACTGAACCTATACCAGAGGCATGTGTCCTGACCTGGAATCGAACCAGCGACCTTTTGCTTTGTGCTCAACAATTCCTTGGCCAGAGGTGTTTTAAAGTTGTGTGAGTGTATATATGTGGATCTCTCTCCAAATATTTATATCCTGCCCTTTTTACTCAGGTTTGTTCCCACCTGGCCCCTACCCTGATATACCCTTGGCTATAATGGTCTTCTTCCCTCCTTCCCACCCAAAAATATTTTTCTCACTTCCAAAATTTTGCTCATTCCATTGCCTCTGCTCAGAATGTTTTTTCCCTTAACCACTTTTCAAATCGAGCGCAGCTTGGATGCTAAAACGTCATCTCCACTCTGCTCAACTAGCTCAGGTTGATACTTCCATCCTCTCAATTCTGTATTACAATTTTCTGGGTATAGGTCTTTTAAAAAAAAGACTTTATTATTTTTTTTTAGAGAAAGGGGAAGGAAGGGAAGCAGATGGAGGGGAGACATCAATGTGAGAGAGAACATTGATCACGGATGCTATTCTAGTGTCCATCAGTTGAGGAATGGATGAATGAAACGCTATATATCATACAACTGAATATTATTTAAGTTAAAAGGAATATTTAGATGTAAATATACATAAACATGGACAGACCTCAAAAAATAGTAATGTGAGAGAATAAGTTATAGATAATACACAGAAAATAGAACTTATTTTCATTTACAAAAACAAAATTAATACAATACTTATAGTTTGTATATACACACTTTTTTTAAATACATTTAGAGAAAACAGCTAATTATACTACTTGCTTCTGGAGGGGATGAAAGAGTAACGGATCTGAGAATAGAAGACAGATAAGTTCAACTTTTATGTTTTATCTTTTTAAAAAATGAGGAAACAAATAGGTCACGATGACAATAGTCAATTTAGGGTAATGGGTATACAGTGTTTATAACACTCTATTAAGTTTCACATAATAAAAACAATACCCATTTTAAGTAAATGAGACGGCTGTAAATGGTGTAAATATTACCCTGTAACTTTCTCAGGGCCCTCAAATAGTTGTCCGGCATTCTAGACCTGGTGAGCCCACAGGTCACCCCAGCCCTGTTCACCGAATAGACCCAGCAGGAACGCCCAGGGAGCGTGAGCAGGGGCTTTCGAGGTGTCGGGTCCGGATGCACAAATAACAGGGTGTTAGAAATGAACTACAATACTAAGCTATAAGTTGGGGTGCAGCACAGTGAATAAGGTATATAAGAAGGGGAGAAAGGTACGAGTTGAAGACTTAGGATGTGGGGTAGGAAAGAGTACCGAGATGTGCGACCTGGCTCCGGAGACGTGAGAACCGAAGAAATAGTTTGGGTGCCTTGGAGGTCCTGCAAGGCTCTTCAACATCTGGAGCCTAAGCCGCGCGGACACTTCCACAGCTCCTCGGAACCCGCTGTTTTGGCCACCCCTTCTCCTTTTTGGCCAGTACCAACGCCCATTACCGGGGACAATGAACCTCGAAAAGCCACCGCGGCCTCAGATGGTGGAGAACAAACCCATTCTCCCGCCAATTCAAGCCTCTGAACTCCGCCTTCTGACCAGAGCTCGACTCTTCCGCTTCCAGAAGCCCGGAAATTCGTCCTGGGGCTTCAAGAAGTCTCTGTTCCTAAAAAATTACTCCCACCGAGGCAAAATGACGTATGCTGTGACCAGTGAAACCCAACCTCGTGTTAGATGTATATTCTCATTCAATACAAATCTCCCTTCGGGAGAGCGGAACCGAAACTTCCGGGTCAGACTCTATGCATTCTGGGAAATGTAGTTCTTGGCCTCCAAGCTTCGCTCTTTGATATCTAGAGTGAGGAAGCATCGCGAAAGCTGTTTATGGGATCCTTCTCTTTGGTTCTCCAAAGAGGAGAATTGTTGAAATATTTGCCCCCAAAATAATACAAGTCCAATTTCTCATTTTCCAAGAACGTCCCCCGCTGAATCTTGGAAGTACACGAGAATTGTCCTCCTTGACCTTTAAATGAATAGCAGGTAGATGGTCTCTTAGTCCCCGTCAGGTCTCAGCTTGTCTTGATGCCCCGCCCCCTATGCGAGAGCTTACGCGGTCGATTGGCTAGGAGCCCTAGAGCGGCGGAAGCAGCTGGCTCTCGGGCACACGGGGGAGGGGGAGAACTAGAAACATGGCGGTAGTGGTGGAGGTGCAGGTTGGAGAAGGTATTCCCGGGAAACACGAGCTGGATGAGGTAAGAGCTGAGAGTCAAGGAGAGACTCAGCCTGAAACTGCAAGAAGGAGAGGGGAGGTAATTCACTAGAAGTAGTTAATTTCATAGGAGAGACAGGGTCCGGAGAGGGAAGGAGCCAACTGGTGGGCGGATGCGCGGAGAGGGAAATCTGAGGCACCCTGAACTCGGGTACTGGAAGGTGGTCTTGTGGGTAGAACACTTGCAGTAATCTCAGGGGTGGAGATGGAGGCTAGAAGAGAAGCTAGAGGGCTGGTGGTGTAAAATTTGCGATTATTGGTGGGGGGCCCTAGGGTAGGACTAAAGGGCTGAGAAGGTAGCTTGAGTTGGAGGGGCGTGGACTTTGGCGAGGGAAGGTTGGGCTTTCACTGTGGGGAAAGACTAATTGGTTTCTGTTGGGGATGCGGACGGGGGAGAGTGCTAATCTACTAGTGTTATAGCTTTCAGGTTTTTTAAATTAACCAATTAGTAGTTTATTCATGATTGACTCATTTATATTTTTATTGTATTTTTTTCATTTGAGTTATTTTTACGTAAGAGCTATTTTAGGTATCCTTACAGTCTAGGAGATTGTACATAATGTATGCTTAGTAAAGTTTGGGTCAACGAATGAAAGAACGAGTGGATGAATGAATAATTGTGTACTAGAATTCTTCCATTCATTCATTCAACACGCATTAAGTATCACATTTGTGCCTAGTCCTGGGCTAAGTGATAGGGTCATAAGGGGCCTGTCCCATTGCAGAGCTCACAGTCTAGTAGTGGGAGACACACGAGATCATTGCATCAGAACTATACTGTAATGGTGGCACTGAGAAGAAGGGACGGATTCCATTTGGGCTCGGCAAGGTTTTCCAGAGAAGCTGAGTGTTAAAGGGTAAATGAGCGCACTCTCTCTCCTAGACCTATGAGTTCTTTGACGGTGAGCTTCTTGAGGGTGTATGTCCCCTCTATCTATCTGATATATACTTAACAACTGGTGTGTTCAATTACCAGTAGTCCTTGAAGGAATCACAAGAAGGAAGAAGATACTGAGTTTGAAGGGAATGAAAAACTGTGGAGAAGCAGGGAGAGAGGTGAAAAAGGCAAGGGAAAAGATCCTGAGCCTAAAGATGCAGAGGAGTGCTTGTGGTCTTACACATGACAGCATGTGAACAGTACTGAGGAACAGGACGAAGGAAACTGATTATCAGAAATGGAACCTGTGGAATGTCTCCAGGATCAGAATCTTAAGAGGCCCTGGCCTTGTCATGGGTCGTGGGGTGGGTGGGGAGAATTGAAGATGAGGCCCAGAGAAAGAGATTAGTAGTGGATATACAAGGCAAAGACTGTAGGATGTTGTTTGGCTGTAGGATGACTTGGAGGATTTGGTTTACTTGATTGTGATCATGAAGGTGGGCAAAGGAGCCTGAGAAACTATGGGGGGGGTGATGAGAGCAGGGGCTGGTTTTTAAAGATTTTAGTACCATACCTCCCAATCACTAGAAACTAGAGGTGTTTGAATACCACTTGTTTGGTGAGGTGGTTGTGAAAATGACCTCCAAGGCCTTTACATTTCTGTGATTACAGTTGGCTGCAGTTCAGAGATATATTTGAAAGTGCCTTGAAAAAGGTATATACTGTATTGAAGTTATTGTATATGGTTTGTTAGTCTTGTGATCTCCTTTGAGGGAGCCTGGTTTTAGGTACATATATTGGGTTTATGATGAAGACACTTGATTTTTCCTCTTAGATTTTTTCCCCTAATTGTTTTTAGAACTTAAGAGCATCTAGTAGTGTCATGCCTAAGATTCAAGTTTACATGTAACCACAGACATTCATCTCACGAACTTCTGTTACCTGTTGCTGAGAAAGAATATAATTTGCTGTCTAGAAATTTTGTATAGACTGGTTCTGTCCTGTGTGTTTTTAAGAAAGTAACTCTGAGAAGCACAAAGAGTCAGTCATCCCTTCAAGCTCCCAACAAACTCCCCCGCAAACAAGGGTCTGGTCTGGCAGACCATAGTTTGTGAGTTTCTGCTAATGTCTTCCCAGCTGTTTCTTAGCATCCTTAACTCATGAAAATGTGAAACCCATCATTCAATTTGTATCTGTGTGTTATGTACAAGGAAATCAAAGGTGAGTAAGACAGGATCTTTACCAACTTACAGAATAGTGAAGAGACATGCAAATACCCCTTTACAATATGAGATAATTGCTATCCATAATGGAAGAGTGTAGCAAATTCAGTGGAGCACAAGAGACAAGCACTTCCATTAGCTAGGGGAAGTTAGTGAAGTCTGTATGATAGAGACGGGGTTACGAAGAAGCAAGGATTTGCATGTGGATCAGAATAGCCTTCCGGAAACACTTTCTGCTTGGTAGGGACTGGATGGACTGTGGAGCCCAGATTATAAAAGAGTAATGGATAGCCTAGCAAAAATGCTTTGATATTCTTTGTCACTCCTTTGGAAAGATTGTGCATGCTATGGTTTGTCCTTCAGAATGTTGTACCTATGTTTTTCAATATCAGATGCCATTAGTGCGACAAGTAGACTGGAATGGTGGCGATCAGTTCATCCACTGTACTTTCCTCTTCTTTTGGGTTTTTCGTTATTACTTCTCTAATAGTTGAGGTAATTTAGGCTTTGCTAAATGATTTTCCTGCTTCAGAGAGGTGGATAGAAAAGAGGGCTTAGGAAAAGAGCTACCAATAAAAAGGGCTCTTGTTTATCCTTACCATAAACCAGCCCCTGATTAAAGCCTTTTCTTTTCATTATTTCATTTATTACTAACAGTAGCTCTGTCAGTTAGATGATGTAAACCCCATTTAGTAAGTGAGGGGGTCTGAGACTAGAATGGTTAAGTGACTTTCCTAGAACTCCACAGTTAGTGAGCAGGGAAGTGCAGATTCCAACCCAGGTCTGCCAGTGCTGTACTGAACTTTAGCCCGTGAGGCACTGAGCCCCTTGATTCCATTTTTTTCTCTATTACTGTGCTCTGGAGGTCAGTAATTTAAAAGTATGGTTTCAATTATATGTGAAATTGATAAAATACATTTAGTAAGTGACTGATTTGAAAGAGCATTTTTAATCTCTCATTTGTGAGGTAAGTTATTAATTAGTAAGCTCTATTTATGATCAGGGAAGTTAGATTCAGAATATTTGAGACATGCCAACAGTCTTGCAACTACTAAGTGGTATAGCTAAAATTTAAACCCATTTTTATACATTCCAAAGTGTTTGTTTCCCCTCAGTTTAAAGACCTAAACTTCACACTCATCTTACTAAAGCAAACTACCCCTTCCTTATGTACAGAAGTTCCATCTCCAAAACATGAGGCAGCAGTTCATTCCTCACAGGTTCAAAGTGGAGGCTAACAAAAGGAATATTGTTTTTTCTGTACAGATCCTTCAATTTACTGATAATTTGATTTTGTTGAACCCCTGGTCACGAGGAGCGATTAGCCCAGAGGTAGTTAGGAAGATGAGAGTTGGGTCTAGCCAGCTTAGGCTGGGTATTGAACAGGTTGTGATGACTGGCTAAGCTCAGTTCTTTCTCTCAACTTACTAACCACAGGGTGCTTGAACTATAGCCTGGGTACCTGCTAGGAGGCCCAGAGCCAATTCAGATCTACTCTTGGACACAGTGAGTTCCTCCCAAAAGGGGTAGCTGGCCAGCTCCTGAGAGAAATTAGAGGCATCATTTTGGCACAGAGAGAGCTGGCTTGGAACCTAAGGTAGAAAAGCACTTAAACGTCCACTCAGGACCAACCTGTTTGCCTAATCAGTGCTTGCAAATTCTGGATGTGTCTACTCTCAGTGCTTGTTCATCTGCCAAAATGATGTGATATCACGCAAATCAGTGAGTAATTTCCAGCTCAAGCTCAAAGCAACTATTCTAGCCTACAACTAACTTGAAGTTTTAATTGTCTCAAGCACATAATTTACCTCTCCTGGGCTCTGTTTTATTCTTGCTAAAAGAGGAAGTTGGACCAGATTGGTGATTGGTGGTTTTTAAACCTTTATTTAGTCATGAAACCCTTTATTCAAACAAAATCTCATTTTGAAACCTACAGCCCTTAAAGGGACTCAGAGTGCCTTTCAAGGAGCTATCTCTTACTGCCTGCTAATTGGGTGACCCTACTTTATAATCTTTCAGATCCCTTTTACTTCCCTTAGCCCTGCCCTAGCAACCATTATTTTAATCATCTGTCTCACCCACTAGACTGTTAACTACATAAGAAAGCCGAGTCCAAGTCTGTTTAATTCGTTGATGTAGCCTCTTCCCTCAGCATGGTGCCTGATACACATGTGGACATCTGGTGTCTAATAAGTGTGTGATGATTATTATTTTTGAGCAGTAGTAATAATAGCTACCATTTGGCAGATGTTTATAGTATGCCAGTTGCTCTGCTCAGTAGTCCATACTTTTTTTTTAAAGAGAGAATGGAGAAGAGAGGGAAAGAAACATTGGTGTGTGAGTGAAACATCAGTCAGTTGTCTTTCACATGTGCCCCAACTGGGGACTGAGCCTGCACGCCAGGCGTGTACCTTACTGGGAATCAAACCAGTGACCTTTTGCTTTGCTGGATGATGCTCAACCAACTGAGCCACACCGGCCAGGGCAGTACATACTTTTTGATTGAATGTTATGACATCCCTGTGAGAAACGAACTGTTGGATTAAATCATATCTAAAACTTCTTCTGATTACTCTCAGGTCTTTGTTGGCACTGTCCTGTCTGCCTAGAATACCTTTCTTTTCCCTACAGACTCCACTTGAACTTTAAGGTTGTTCTAGCCCAGGGCTCTCTTGGCTTCTGGAACTGGTCTGATCTACACAGATAATTTCTTTCCCATCATTTTATAATTTTTCTCTGTGTTCATTTATTGTCAAACTTTCCTGAGGTACCTGCTGAGTGCCAGGCACTGTGCACTATACCTGATAATACCAGGATGGATGAGCAGTTCATAGACAAGCACAGGTAGATAAATAAGTACAGAAATGTGTCACAGCTGCTGTG